CCCATAATATCTTTCCTAGGCGCGCCTGCGCGACAATTTATTTCTCAATATAATATTCGCAGCAAATTCATGCGTAAGCTTTTCTTTTAGTGTGGAATACATACCTACCTGTGATAACATGATTTTCGCACACTCTGCCTTCAAAGTTCCGTACTCAGAGGCTACCTGTCGCTGTGGCTTTCTTCACAGTCGCGGCCCACCTCGTTTTTGTCTTCATTACATGGCAATTGATACATGTGTTTGCCTTGCACGCTCGAGTTGGAGCAGCCAACGGCTGAACAACCGACCATGGTTTACCAGGACGAAGATTAACGGGCGACCACGTGCGTTAATCCCGATTAATCTGAGGCTTGCGGCGAAGCGGTTTGCCGTCGTCTGCTCTTCTCGAACCGGAAGCCGGTAGCAGACGGTGCATCCCACAATCCCTCGCTCTTTTACTGCATGGTCACCTATTAGCACGGTTAGCGTGGAGTAGTGCGCTTGAACGTGACTGGCCTCGGAGAGGAGGAAAAGTGTAATTGTTTTCGTCAAAATATTCTTGAATACAATTTTCGTTTACTTATAGAAGGTATTCATTTGTGGATTTAATGACCTATTCCCGCTGAAGGCCTTGCAAAAGACACCATTACTTATTACTCTAAAACATTTCTTTACCAGAAAGTGCTTACAGTACATGACTATAACGATTATATTGCTTACGCCCGAAAGTGTAGGTGCCTGAAACTTCTTAATTACACCTGCACAAAATCATTATTATTACAGAAAACACCAGAGCCGATTTTTAAAACTGCGTGAGCTTTCGCGCATATGCGCGTGCGAGTGCCATTACGAGCACTCTTCCACATCCCTTAAACAACCAGCAGTGGATAAAGGTCGTCTCGTTTGAACCAAGCGAAAGAGCAAACAGGGTAATACAATAACACAAGAAGTACTACTAGGCAAAAGAAACGAACACACAATAAGAAAACACCGGTTAGAACGTGTTGCTGCATCGTTCGCATACAATTTAGTTATTGCACATGCAAAATAGCTTATTATAAGGTAGCAAATACCTTATTGCACATACAAAATAGAAACTTTGGACGAGGACAGAACTCGTTTGCTGGTCACTTGTACACAGTACAATCTACATGCAACAAAATCCAGAGCAGACTCTTTACAAGTGTTTCACTGTGGTTGTGACGTTGAAGTAACACCTTATATAAAAAAAAAAAGCCTTCGTGCTTCTCGTTGGGTAATATTCTCCACAGTACTGGAGTTCTACACAGAAACAATAAATTTGCTTTGAGGTATTTTAACCCTTTCGGCTCCAAATTTTTTTTCAGACATATTCAGTACACATTTTACTAATAGTTAGGACATCAGATGATTACAAACAAAAATTTAGTCAGTGGTGTAAATATTTATGGATTATTAGGTCATCATGGCACTATGGTAATGAAATAACAAGAATGGCAAATTGATTCCTGCTTATGCTATACAGTACGTAAAATCTGAACCAACGTAGTACTTGACAGCGTGGAAGCTCTTAAAACAACTTCATGACTTCATCCCAAAAACACCGCCTTCCCGCTTTCGCATTGCCCACCTAGTCTTTAACCGTGACTTCGTTCCAGCTTCTTTACATATCCAAGCTCCAAAAAAAGTGAAACAACGGTGGTGTCTGTGCAAGTGGGGATAGTTGAAGAAATACTTCCCCAAAAACGAATGCGTTTGGTTATGTTTTCGAGGTTCTAGGAGGAATTTCGTGGGGTGGCGTCAATTGACGACTCCAGGGCCGAAAGGGTTAATGTTTATGATAGCGTTAATTGCAGGAGATCGTGGACTGTATATGAGAGATATAAGTCCTACGAAGTTCCCCAAAGTGAAGATACCTTTGGTTTGTCAACGGATAAAATTATCTGCCGCGGTCATCTCATCATAGTTCGTAGCATAGTATATAGGGCCAGTAAGCAGGTATTCTCATCATGCGTTACTGGAAGCAGACCCAGTGCTCAATTTCGAGGGCTAAGTACGCATCTGCCTTCCGTAGCTGTAAAGCGCATGCACACAAGCAAAGTGAGATGTGAAAAAAAAAAAAGTTTACCGTCTCGCTGCCATCAGTTCCCCGAAAGCAATGTCCTGTAGCCAGTATCTGTGACTCGTTTATACTATGTCTCTAATGCTTGTCTTCAGAAAAGCATACATAGATATCGTGACTATTGTTGGGGTCTGGTGTTCCCAAACCACGACATAGTTATTTATTTATTTTATTTATTTAGTGCAAATACTGCAGGCCAGTTTGTGGCCCAAGCAGGAGGGGCAATTGGCAATACACATAACACTGTTACACCTACATACAAAGAATAAAAATAATAACAATAAAAAGGAGTACAATGCAGATTGGTCAAGGCATAGCACACCATACAATGCATATACTTAGCGACAGATGCTTTCCTGGAGCGCTTGGGAAAATTTTTTGGCTTGTATCACTGCTTCCGGGAGCGCATTCCATTCGGAAATTGTACGTGGGAAGAAGCTGTGCTTAAACTGATTAGTTTTGGCGAAGATAGGCTGAAAGGAATGAGCATGCGTGTGACGGGTCCTTCTTGTGCTTAGCGGTTTAATCATAGTTGACGGAGTTATTTTCACCTTAGAAGTAGCAATATTGTTGAGGAAGAGTAAACGGGCCAAGCGTCTACGAACTGCTAGGGTTTGAATGCCATTATCAGTCATGAGCTTCGACGGAGAATCGTAATGCCCATATTCGTTGAAAATGGGTGTTAAAATATGCGATGCACTGTATTGGTGGTCTCTAGAAATTTCGACTACCAAGTGTCTTGTTTCTCTTTGTTTTGTTTTGTTTGTTGTTGTTTTTTTTTTTTTTGCCTCGAAGGTTGCAAAACAAGCCCTGGCCTCCGCGGCCGGGAATCAATCCTGCACCCTTGAGGTCACTAGTTAAGCTAAAGCAGGCAGCCAGAAATACGACGGGCATACTTAAGAAATTCAGTAGTCCACTGACAGGAATGTAGCACCCCATTCACATCAAATGCGAACACCTCTCGAACAGTTAATGAATGCCGGTGTTTCTTGCCTCCAAACCGCAATATAATAATTGGTCGTGGCGGCAGTTCACGGCATTAACAACACTGTACCAAGCAAACATGCATGGGACAGCCAGTTCCACTGCATTCTGAATTCGCTCTCTCACGCCTCATTTGATAAGCGTTTCTGGGTGGCTTCGAAATTGCGTAAACGTTCCTCATGGTTTGCTTTTTCCGGTGATCTTAACGGAATCGATGTGACAGTGACGCGGCAACAAAAGATGTCGTCGATAATGCTTTGAGGATCGAACTGGTGGAGGCGCTGATGTGCATAAACAGAGATGAATCACGACATGCAGGCGTTTAGGTGTTCTAAGCAAGGTTCCTTTTGAAGGCTCGTTCATCTCGTGCGTTCGGTTACGTTGTAGCTTCGGTTGCAAGTTCTGTTGCATCGTAGACAAACGACACCACACCCCTCATCCCATTTTTTTCTTTCTTGTAGGTCGGCGAACAGCCGAGCTGGTAGAGGATAGCGTCATGCACACTACTTGGATAACTATTGTTACCGAGGACACTACTTGGATAACTATTCTTATCACTGCGCAACCTGACAAAGCCAGTACTCCTAATCACTGAATAGGTGAGAATTTTTATATCCTCTTGTCTCACTGGTTCTACAAAACCAAGGCGGAACGGGAGCGGTATGGTTCCGTCTTATTTCATTTAAGACATTGTAGTGCATGTAGTGTAGTGAACAGACAGTTGCCAGCTCACCATTGGTACGAATAAACCCGTTGTTGGGCAGACGCTCGTGCTTCACCAGCAATGCCCGCAGCTTCCTCGGGCATGTCCCTTCGGTAGCTCCGTCTCGACGGTGTTGAACTCACGCACATCCCTCGGCAAACTAAGTCGGGTTGCGCGAGCATTGACTTCACCGCTATCAATCTACAACGTGTATTGCCTGTAGAGGATCGTTTCGTTATCCGGGCGCAGGCCTGCACAAACAAGTTTATCAAAACACCGATTGCTGCCTTCGTCAACGTCCCGATTCCGTGACAACGCACTTATCCAGTCTTCCATCCATCATCCTTGTGCTGGCCAAACTCAGCTACACCGTCGCTGAATATGTAGGTATCGTTGTTGATTGCATGCGAAAGGAAGACAGAAATGTATACGCACTAGGTGTTGTTTATTCAACCCAAGATGGAACGTGTGCCTGTTGTTCTCTGACGTCACTACGCTTCACGTGCCCTACGAAGGATAACATGGCTGACTCTCTGACGTCATTGTTGAGTTTTCCGTTAAACGTGTGTTGCGGGTCGTTCCGTGTACTGAAAGTTTTAATAAACATGTGCATTAGTTGGAAAGTACGCTACCGAGTCATGAAGATACATTGCACTTGTTTTGCAGGTGTGCACCTAATCGGGTGGTTTGTACGGCGTACATTAAATGGCAACAAACACAGCGATGCATGGAACGACTGCACAACTCAAGACAAGATACGTGTCAGAACGGCAGACATCAGCGCCATGCCTGTCGTATACTGCCGTCTCGCGTCGAGCGTGTTAGTTGCCGTATTTAATAATTGGTTACATACCACGCGGCCGAAACATGACATGTCTTTTGTCAACATGTCAGTCACGCTGCATGTAGAATTGAGTCCTAGTACAAATAACACCACACAATGCGAACCATGCTGCTCATCTTTAATGCGTGGCAAACGTCGGGCTTTAAATGCTGCGAGTGTTTCTGGATAACGAAAAGGACAAGAAACAGAAGATATGGAGGAGAGGCACGAGTGTTAAGCAGCTTAAAGTAATTTGCATGCTACTTCGCACTGAGTGGGGTGGGGTGGGGGGGGTGGGGGGGAATTGAAAGGAAACATTGCAGATAGAGAAGGGAGCAGCACACACACTCACATACCATTACAGAGCAGAGCGGCTGTCTTGTGCGATGTACGGCAATAATACGAGTCTACAGCTGCTACTTGACATTTATTCCCAAAAAAAGTATAATAGTGTTTACATTGTTTTAATCTCGATGGCTTTTGGTGTGAGCGAGGCGTGTTCACTGGAGCTGTTATTTCACCGACATCAACGCAGCCTCTCGTCATCAACTCAGTCAGTCATAAGGCCCAGCTTGAATATTCTATCATCCAAGTCATGCGACTTCACGGCTCGGCTCATGGCACAAACACAGGCAGTGGTCACGACTATAGTCTTGTTTCGCACCGACCAGCGGGAACCGTCCTTCCAGTTCGGATAAAACACCGTCAGCTTCTCCCGCACTTCCAGGCACCGGAAGTCGCCCACGGAGCTGCACCGGTTTCCCGGACACTTGCACTTCACGGTGGGTATTTCCGGCGGCACCCTGTCAGAGACTATGTTCAGCACTCGTGTAAACGGGCAAGTCGCCCTCTTCCCGATGGCCACAGAATTGCGGTTAGGCGCGTATTTGTCGCCACAGGCCTCGTTGGCGTTTGTGTCGGCGGCGAAGCCAACCTGTACTATGAAGCAGACCAGAAGAACCATCTCGAAAACTCCGAGCATGCCCAAAAACAGCGGCAAAGACGAGTCAATCTGCAGATGCGTACAAACAACCACTTAACATTACCATAATAAAATTCGGCAAATATGGCGCATTATGGCAACTGACATCATGCGAAGCTCAGTGAGTAGCAGCCTGTGCGGGATTTTTCGCTTGCCACCTAGGGTCAGAAGACGGATCAATGTGTTTATGTAAAATTATTAGACGCATACCGTGAGCTTGCCATGCACGTCAGCTTCACTGGCGTCTGAAGGGTTACTTATCGTACCACTTATGAGGAGCACCCATATAACATTTTTTTTCCCAGTTTTACTCCAACGACTTGCACGCTATGGTGCTATGCTGCGCACATCGTATAGCTAGCAGTCACCCGCCTATACGAGCAGCGCTCTACTATACCTTTTATCAAAGCAATAGTTAATTGGAATTTAACTTTTCAAAATCACGATATGATTAAGAGAGACGCCGTAGTGGAGGGCTCAGGAAATTTTATCACTTGGAGTCCCTTACGTGCAAGTGCCTCATACATTTTGGCCTCCACCAACAATGCCACCGCAGCGGCCAACATTTCATCCCGTGACCTGCGCATCAGCAGTCGAGCAACACAACCTGTCGACGACCGTGGTGGGTTTACTATATACCTTTCGTAATCAGAGTTACTTAGATTATTCTAAAGGTAAGCAGTGAATATATACTGTCACCTCCTTGACAAGAAGCTCACTTAGGGCCTTTTTCACTTGACTGCTCCGCGAAACTACTGGTTTAGATCCCGGTGCAGTGTTTCGTTTAAACCGAAAGCCTTGAATGTCCCATGCTTACGTTCTTCCCTCCAACCGTCCACCACAGAGGAGCTACATGTGGCCATGATTCTCGGCTGCAGTCCCGAAAGTTCGATCTCGGCCACAACGGTCGCGTTTGGATGGAGGCGAAAAGGCCCGTGTACTGCGCAAGAATCGGTGCACTTCAAGGAACGTCAGATGGTCCGAATTTCCGCCGCCCTCCAATACGGCGTCTATAATAACCATATTCTGGTTTTGGGACGTATGACCCTAGTTAGATATGATATTATTAGTGCTCGCTTTCTCAGTACTCCGAGCGTGATTGTTTGCGAAGTGTGATCGCTTGTGAAGCAGTTCTTTCGACCTTGTGTGTGTGAAGACAGACAGACATAAACAAACAGACATAAACAAACAGACATAAACAGACAGACATAAACAGACAGACATAAACAAACAGACACACACAGACACAAACACACAGACACAAACAGACACAAACACACAGACACAAACAGACACAAACAAACAGACACAAACAAACAGACACAAACAGACACAAACAAACAGACACAAACAGACACAGACACACAAACAGACAGACACAAACAGACACAGACACACAAACAGACAGACACAAACAGACACAGACACACAAACAGACAGACACACAAACAGACAGACACAAACAGACACAGACACACAAACACAAACAGACACAGACACACAGACACAAACAGACACAGACACACAGACACACAGACACACAGACACACAGACACACAGACACACAGACACACAGACACACAGACACACAGACACACAGACACACAGACAGACACACAGACAGACACACAGACAGACAGACAGACAGACAGACAGACAGACAGACAGACAGACAGAAGACGACAGACAGACCGACAGACAGACAGACAGACAGACAGACAGACAGACAGACAGACAGGACAGACGAGATAGACAGATAGATAGATAGATAGATAGATAGATAGATAGATAGACTAGATAGATAGATAGATAGATAGATAGATAGATAGATAGATAGATAGATAGATAGATAGATAGATAGATAGATAGATAGATAGATAGATAGATAGATAGATAGATAGATAGATAGATAGATAGATAGATAGATAGATAGATAGATAGATAGATAGATAGATAGATAGATAGATAGATAGATAGATAGATAGATAGATAGATAGATAGATAGATAGATAGATAGATAGATAGATAGATAGATAGATAGATAGATAGATAGATAGATAGATAGATAGATAGATAGATAGACGGACGGACGGACGGACGAACAGACAGACAGATAGATTTTATCTGTCTGATTTTTTTTTTTACAGGTGTTAGGTACGGCACTTAAGCCTACGACGAAAACCGCCGGACTCCAGCCGCAAACAACTGGGGACCAAGGGTGAGAACCTGTCGACCCCCAGTCCTAACTGGTGGTCGTTATGCCGTCAACCCGCGGGCACAACACAAGGCACGTTTGGCAACGCATCCATGACTAAAGTTACTCGATTCTCCTAATGTACATTTCACTTCAGCACTCCACTACACGAAGTGATCGACAAAATATGCTATTGGGGAGCGACGAACACGCTTTGGTGAACATGATTATAACTAAAATAACCATATTTGATGAGAAAATGCAAATAAGTCCCCCCCCCCATAAAAAACGCGACTGGACAAAAAAAAAGGAACCAAATCTGCTTAATATAAGCACAACTGGGAACTCTGAATATGATCGCGTATGAGACAGTTGGGCCCTTACCTTTAGTGAACGAAGAGAGCCCCGAAAGCGCTGCCTTAAGGAAGGCCAGAGGCGAGCTTCGAAATGCTAGCTCATGCAGGGACCCAGGTGGTAACGAAACTTCAACGGCATGCACGTCAATTCATACGTGCTAGTCCCGTTGCGCTAGCGCTTTTTGTTGCGAGATGCAGGCTACGATAGAAAAGAAGACTTGGCCACGGCAGACAGTTTTCCTTGAGTGGCACACTGAAGAACCCTTTTGAAGAGGGCGCATACTCGATGTAGACAAAATGAATACAACTAAATAAAGTGCGCGCTCAGAGAAGTTGCGCGAAATCTTGAGCCACTTTTAGGCCCTCACCGTGATCGCGTTTATCGCGAGACAGGCTTTATACACAGAGCGAATTCACATGCGTATTTTTCCGCTACTTACTCTACTTAACGGCGGGCTGTTGAAAAAATTCGGTTGCTCCATATGGTACATACAAAGAAATGAGTGTAGTTACCGGACAGACAGATTGACAAAGAACTGTATTAAAGACTTGAGCAACATTTTTTTTTCTTAAGTGGAATAAACATCGGAGAAACATTTTCTCTTTTTCAAACACTGGTGGCCCAGTAAACTACCGGTTTACAGAATATTATTCTGGCCCCGTAAAACATGCAACTGGCAACATTCACGGCATTCACGGCGCAGGCTTATGGACGAAGTTTTCAAACTGAGCAACACCAGACACTGAAAGACAACTGCGTACCACCCACAAACCAACGAACTTGCCGAGCGATTGAATAAAACCCTTGCAGACATGATCTTAATGTACATCGACGTACAGCACAAAACATGGGACCGGAACTTACCTTATGTGACCTTCGCGTAAAATACCGCCGTTGTTACGTTTAGCCCGGCAATTCGTCTGGGCAGGCGCCATTGTGCGCAAGCCGATCTGCTATAGGGAGGCTTTCAACGCCATCGGCGCCCAGTCTGCAAGACGCTGACCTGTAGATGTTCCAGGAAGTAGTCGGGTCTCAACGATGGCTTAGCGAGACAAGCCTTTTGTTGAACGGGCTCGAACATCGGGGGGGGGGGGGGGGGGGGGGGGGACGGCGCCACTGTGGCGGTTCTGATTAAGTCAACCTCTTGACTCGGCTTTTGTCATCTACGCGAGGCCACCTCAACGCACCGACAGCCCGGAAGTGGGGGAACGAGTCGAAGAAGCTGTTCACCGGGCATGACGATAGTTATAGCGCGAGAACAAAACGACGACACAGAGACAATAAGGACACGAAAGACACGAGCGCTATAACTATCGTCATGCCATACCAACTAGCCCAAGCTGCCACACTTCTATGTTCACCGGGATCGAGCGTTTGGACTGCCTGAAGCTGAAAGCAGCATGGACCGCTGCTGACGTTCGGATTAGCGGCCATATCCCCGGAGGAGCTCAACTTCCCCTCTCCACATTACCTCCTCGCCCTGCGGTGCCTTCAAAGCGTGAGCCGGGTGCGTCTGTGTGGTGCGTTTCTGTTACCTTTGGACCGTTTCACAAAGCCGAGTGGTGCAATATCTGCACTCTTTCTGGTGGGTGGACCACAAAGACATCGTACCCTGCTTTGTGGCAAGAGTGGTCACCGCCTCCTTCGGACGGCGGTGACGGTGGGCTATAAAAGCCGAAGCACGATTGTAAATAGGGCGGAGTCATGTGCGGTATCATGAACTGAATCTCTGTTGTACATAATGCGGGATCTTATGGATCCCTGTACAGTTCATATCTTTCTTCTATAATATAAATAAATTTTCGTTCTTTCTCTGTTAACGCGTCTCCTCACTGGAGAGCATCGGCGATGTGGAAGACGGCGGGGTGCCAGCTACCCTAAAAGAGAACCCGCCGTACCTGCTACCATCGACCTCGAGCCCTTTACAACTGGTGGCAGTGATGGGATGCCATCACCTCTTCCTACCCTTTACGCCATGCAAGTGACCACGCTATTCACGCCATTTCGGTTTCTCTACGGCCGTGAAGACCATGCTGGACTCAATGCTACCGTGTCGAGACGAAGACCAGTTGGCAACTGACGCCGAAGAATTCGCATAGCGTGCTGAGGAAGCCCGGCAGCGCGCGCGACTGCACATCGGCCAGCAACAGCAGGCATACGCTGTAACACCCGCCAAAGACAAGTGTTTTACAACCCCGGAGACCAAGTTTGGGTGTGGACACCCGTCCGCCGCCGTGGCATTAGTGAAACGTTACTGGGGCCGGTACTTTGGCCCATATAAAGTGTTACGCCACGTCAGGGACGTGAACTACGAAGTGGTTCCGGACTCAACACCGCAGGCACGGAGCAGGACACGACAGAGGCCGGACGTAGTTCATGTGCTGCGATTGAAATTATTTATTGCGCGTTGTTCGTAACTTTTTTTTAAATCGCAACAACTGGGTGGGGGTATTAAACCACAGAGTTGCTAGCTCTAGGACGATGCGTCGGTCGAGGCTGGCTCTCGAGCGGAGAAGAAGCACGCGATCTTCTTTTTTCCTCCAGATTGAGAGCTGCTTTTGCAGTCAACCCAATACATGTGGGTGGCAATATAAACGTTTTGCGCGACCACGGCACAAGCTGCAGTAATCGCCCGATACCGCGAGCGGCGAGGAGACGTAATCTAGCAGCGCTTGTCTACCGGCTAGGAATCGTTATCTTGCTTGGCCATAGATGACGCCAAAAGAGAACGTGCTTTCTTCACTTGTCGGTTGATGGTGTTCTAGGCAGCCGCCGCAGAGCGCAGGCCACGCGCCCGAGTGTTCCCTTTCATAAAGAACGACAATGTACATACGGTATAAGTAACACTTGTGTTTCCGTCCGACGGGAAGCTACCACAACGACAGTGTCAACGGACATCATACGACCCTAAAGAGCTTCGCTCCTAATATAGGAGACGCTGGCCGTACCATGACGAGGCCCGCACTGCGGCTGCGCCGTCTCGCAGGTGACCAAAGGCACCTGGAGGACTGAAGGCACCTAATAGTTTTTTTTTGTTTTTTTGGGTCTTCAGACATTGCAGCGCGAGTACCAAATAGTGTTATCAGTCCGGATGGTAATAAAACGCCATTAGAAACATGTGTGATGCAAATCAATTCATTTAGCATTTTCTTTTTATTGCCACCAATAACATACCATAGCGAAAACTATTCTCCGAGCTTTACACGTCTTTCACAAAACCATCCCCCCCCCCCCCCCCCCCTAAGCATGAGACCACGGTCACCGCCACAGATGTCTGCTAAAAAAGAGATCAAGGCGAGTTCGAAAATTCTCTATGTGAAAGAGACATATCTTGTATTAAAAAAAGTTCCTTTTGCTGTGTCACGCAGTTTATGCAGTGCTTTTCTTGCGCGGGTTTTCGCTATTGCTCGTCCTCTTACGTCCACCTTGCAAAGTCACATATGGTATTTATTCGTTCGTATATTATTTGTATATGCTATATACACGTGACGATAGTTATAGCGCGAGAACAAAACTACGACAAAGGGACAAGAAGGGGACGAGCACTTTGTCGTCATGTTTTCGCGCTATAGCTATCGTCATGGCATACCAACTAGCCCAAACTGCCACACATTTAAGTTATATATACGTTACATAGTTACATCATAAGCGAACTGCTTCAGGACTAGCGGTGACATGCATGCCTTCATAACGATTCGGGGAAACACGTTAGGCTAAGGTGCTGGCGAGACCAGTGCGAAATCATAATACCGAAAAAAGAAAAGTAGTTGGAACAGCGACAAGAAAATACAATGCACAAAACCAAGCAGCGCGATAGCTGACTTTCCTCTTTTTTTTTTCTCAACCAAGTGAAAGGTGGTGTTACAAAGGCCCGCGGTGCCATTCACAAAAAAGCGAAATGTCACCGACCCTGAAGGAAACACGCCTGTACTGAGAATGCATTGCCACGCGCGTTTATTGCTTCACTGTCAGGGCCGGCTTACGCTAACGAGTCGGAATTCAACACGACAGCTCAACTTTGGAGTGAGGACGGGACAGGTTAAGGATGGTGTCACTGAAACGATTTAGAAGTACGTAGTCGGACGCACACGTACCTTCGTGTAACGAAGGGAGCGGATGTCGACGTCATCTCGGCTAACGTCACGCTCCCACTTCGGTCGTCCTCAGAAAACGAGGGCACTTGCACCTTCGGTCCATCGTCGTAATTGCCCCGAAATTTCGGTGGCGCGCAGCACTGTCGCCCCATAGTGCGGATTGGCTGGCGTATACTCTGGGCGAATATCCAGCGCACAATGCGCATCACATATCCACGCCGCAGTTCACAGGCACTGAAAAACACGGGTCTTCTCCAGTCGCCAACAAGCACGCCACGAAATAAGGCCGCCTGGCAATCCATTTCCGTCGAGAGGCGTGAACAAGCGAAGGCTCGTCTGTGCAGCGAAACACGACAGTCAAAGCGGAGTGACGTCACAGCCCGCGGTAGGAACAGTAAGGAGGCCTGAAATCATTGGCTCTATACTCCTCTTGTCGGTGTTTCCGCGCTTATCACCCTGTCAGCACTTGCTCCGCGATATCGCACCGTGATATCACTTGGTAACGATAGATTCTAGCTTTCGCTTCGGCGTCTTGATCTCGTCGGTGAATTCACCGGGGCTGCCGGCTTGATAAGTAGCTGCAGGTTAGAGTGAAGTTTGTTTTCCTAAGCTCTTGCCTCCTTTGCGTTGGCGCTATAGATCGTTCCAGAGCTTTCATTCTATTCGGTGAATTGCTTTGTGAAGCAATTGCTTGCTTCACAAAGACACCGCCACTGAGGAGTTTGCTATTCAATTACCATAGTCCCAATTGATATATTTACCATTTCCGCCCAAGTAGGAATACTAAACTCAACGAGGCAGTGATCTTTGAAGCAGACAGGCGTAACATGGTAGTGCGGACAAAAAGCTAAATATCCAAAGACACATAAAGTTTGCCTAATCAGGCATGGCTCGATCCTTGTAAATGAGTTAACTGTACAGAACGTGTCATTTCTAACCACTTCCCTAAATATTCAATGCAGATATCGTATATTTCTCGAAGAGCTTCGGTGCTTGCGTCATTACAATTTATCCTACTAGTTGTGTCTATTGCGGAAATACGCAGTCGAAATCTCCGACAAGAATGGCTAGTATCTGACAATCACGGAATTGGAGAAGATGCACCCCCCCCCCCAAAAAAAAAAAAAGACAGCGCCTTATTCTACATTATCGGGTGCGTATGAACGTAAATAAAATGCCTCTCGTTATCCCCAAGAACAAAGTTGACAACAATCGGTCACTAATTACCACAAGTTATTGATTTTCGCAATAAGCACAATATACGGTGCAGCACAACGCAGCAAGAAGCAGAAGCCCGCCGATGTTCCTACAACATTCATGGTACCACGAATGACGTCACTTGACACCCTCCTGTTCCTCCTTGTTTCTCTTCTACCTTAAATGATTGCTCATTTTTTTCTCGTTTCTTTCGTTCTTCTCTTTGCTTGTATGAGATTATTTGCAGATGACTGCGTGCTCTACCACGAGGTCAAACAAACTTCTGGCCAAATCAAATTCATCAGCGCTTTAAAAACGGAGTATTTCAGTGGTGTCGCGATTAATATATGACCGTTAACAACGAAAAAAAAAACATTTCGATGGCAGTTACTATTAAAAAGATGATTGATTGATTGATTGATATGTTGGGTTTAACGTAACAAAACCACCATATCATTATGAGAAACGCCGTAGTGGAGGGCTCCGGAAATTTCAACCACCTGGGGCTCTTTAACGTGCACCCAAATCTGAGCACACGTGCCTACAATTAAAAATTCCACTAAAATTCGCTTATGGTTCCAACAGCACTTCACTGCGTTCATTCAACGAATACCGCTATCCGGGTATCAACATTACGTCCAATTTAAATTGGACTACGCACGTTCAGTATATAGCAAAAAAAAGAGCCACGAACAAGCCCTTCTTTCCTAAACGTGCCTTGAAAAACACATCTTCCGAGATAAAGCTTCTGATGTTTCACTTGTTCGCCCGATATTAGAGTATGGCAGCTTTGTTGATTGATTGATTGATCTGTAGGATTTAACGTCCCAAAACCACCATATGATTATGAGAGACGCCGTAGTGGAGGGCACCGGAAATTTCGACCACATGGGGTTCTTTAACGTGCACCCAAATCTGAGCACACGGGCCTACAACATTTCCGCCTCCATCGAAAATCTAGCCGCTGCAGCCGGGATTTGCTCCCGCAACCTGCGGGTCAGCAGCCGAGTATCTTAGCCACTAGGCCACCACGGTGGGGCAGTATGGCAACTTTGTCTGTTCCCCTATAAACATTGAAAAGTGCAGCGTAAAGCAGTACGGTTCATCTACAACCGACACCACTCACCTACTGAGTTACTGCGACGCGCTGAGCTTGCCCCTTTATCCAGTAGCGCGAAGCTTCATCGGTTAAACTTTATCTGCTTGCTTTTGCACAATTCATTTAAAACTGAAGCATTATACTACATCAATAGAAGTCACTCTAGGATCACCCGACACAAACACCCGCTCACTCTCGATAAATTTTTTATGCTACAAAACTTCTTTTATTCCTTCTTTTCGCTATCAGTACGGGAGTGGAATGCTTTAGACGCTTCCGCGGAGTTACAGAAAGTGTACAAAAAAAAATCTTAAAACACGCCAACCTACCCATTGTAACACCGATATGGATGCTTCACATTGTCGGATTGAATCCCAAATAAAATACTTCCTGCTATATATATATATATATATATATATATATATATATATAGAGAGAGAGAGAGAGAGAGAGAGAGAGAGAGAGAGCATAAGAGCATCGTACGCGTTATTCGAAGGGCGTAGGTTCGATTCCTACTCACGCCAGGCTATTTTTTCACCCACTTTTCTTTCTTCTTATTTACATTTAACTTGTTCTAATAACTTCCCCTATACATTCCTTGGCATTACTGTCTGTTAGATCTCATTATTAGTGTGTCAAAACACGGAAAAACGAACCCTTAGGTATATACGCTTCTTCTCTTATATATATATATATATATATATATATATATATATATATATATATATATATATATATATATATATATAATTAGCTGTTTGGTACGTCTAGGCACCTACGTACAAATTCTACTGACGTATGCGATTCCGCCCTGACCTACATTTGCACTGTAGCATCTCACTATTCTTGCTTTGCTTGTTATTTTTCTTTTTTGTTGTGGAACGCGCCGGAAATTTTCGACCACCTGCGGTTTTTTAAACGTGCACCTAAATCTAAGCACACGGGCCTCAAGCATTTTCGCCTAAAATGCGGCCGCCGCATCCGGCACTCAATACCGCGACCTGCGAGTCAGCACACGAGTGCCTTAGCCACTAGACCACCGTGGCGGGTGTACACTGTTAATTCAAGGCAATTATACCGGTCGCCTTGAAGAAGAAGGGGATCGCAGTCTCGCCGCTGGTTCCACATCATCAATGACTGCTCGTTTTGCTCGCCGAGAGATGACGCGAAAAGAGGCTGCGGTTGCTCTCACTCCCACTTGAACGCGCTGCCAGCAGCAGCCGGAGCGCGCAGGCGACGCGCTCCCGTGTTCCCTTTCATGAAAATTGACAGTTTACACCCGCTATACGGTGGTCGAAGTGTACTGGAACACGGAAACTTTAAGCGTTTAAAAAATCCAGAACGAGGACTGTCAGTGGCTCCGGTGACACTCCCAGTTCAAGGGAGGTTCTCTTTTTAGAAGGCAACAGCGATCGTACGGGTTAACTTGACGATTTATTTCTGGTAACACATAGTAAAGTAGATGAAATCTGAAGGGATGAAACAGGGTATGAAAACTGTACACCTGATGCAGTTATGACATATTTAAATGAATTTTTCGATGAAAGACAAAAAAGTTGACTTTTTTTGAGCGGTTCGAAATGAACGGTTGGGCGCTTTCAGAGTTCGTCGCCGTGCGTGAACTCTGGCAGTGTTGGCTCCTCGCTCTCTTCTGCCGGCTCCTCTGAAATCGGGAACGAAAAATCTCATTGTCAGTTAATAAGATTATTATGAATAATAATAAAAATATCTAAAGTTTTACGTGGCGAAATCACAATATGAGACACTGTGGTGGAGGGCTCCCTAAGTTTCGGCCCTCTGGTGTTCTTAAACGTGCATCGGCAACGCACAGTACACGGGCATCAGAGATTTTTCCGCTCCATCGAAGTGCGAGCGCTGCGACTACTGCACAACCGAGGCCAACATTGGCGACTCGTTTCCCTCAATTGCTGCATGTATGAACAGAGTGAACATTCACATAGACTTTATTGAACGGAATTGTCTTGCCGCTTGCGTGACGCACGCGAACTGCGCCTCCTGGTTAGCCTCGTCAAATTATGATATAGTAAGCAGGTTATTATTCACAAAAAATACTCACCTAAGCAAAATACATAACTTGTGTGACACCAACTGTTAACGTCGCTCTTGCAAAAGAAATAGAAGTCTGTGTACTGCTAAGCTAGGTGGTTTTAATCCCAGCCTTGAGGGGAAAGGGCACGGAGTATGTTAGGCTTAGCTAAGCCCATTGTACTCCTGGCCCCTCTGACGAGGTCTACCTTGTGTTTTGCTCCTGCAAGTCATACGACAGTTACAGATATGACCATCATGTATAGAGTAGCGGTAGGCTGTGCAACGTTAATCACAGCCTCGCGGTGAAAGGTCGAGGAGTATGTTAGGCTTAGCTAAGCCTAAAGAGCTCCTTGCTTTTTAATTGAAAGTTTTACCTTGGGATTTGCTCTACATGTGAAAGCACATGCTCGAATCACTCGAAGCAATAAAACGAAATTAGTTTTGCCTAAAAACTCCCATACGGAATGTGATATTACAATGTAAGCTGTATGTAGTGTTCCCTAAACTGCGATGAACAACTGCACCAAGACCGGCAGGACAGTACCTTCATATAGTCAGTGGCTAGGCACTGGCATATTTACACAGCACAATATGAACAACAACAGCACCTGTGTTGTGTGCTTTCATCTGACTTTGTTCATTTTGCAATGTGTAAATTCCACACTGTGAAAAAAAAGTTATTTGTATGAGGCAACTTGCAAAACAGATCATGTAAACAACATGTGCTCTCTGATGAAATGTGGGTGTTTATTTTATAAAGACCTTCAGTTCCTACATATCTACAAGGCATGAATTTTTCTAACGGCATATTGTGTTATATTCAAGATGTAGCATTTCATGAAAAACATGCACATTTCTTCAAACAAGCATTCCAAAAGTAGACTAGAAAGGAAGTCCTTCATCACTCGAGAGGGCACCAAAGTGAAAAAAAATCAGTTTAGAATGATCAATTATTCTCACGGCATTCTCAATTTTATAATTATAGGTAAATTATCATCAGAAAAATTGAAGGTCAGTGTGGCTTCTAATTTTCCCGTAAAAATGTTAGCGTCGAGTGTATGCCTGTGAAGCAGATGTCCAAACCCCTTTATAATAGCTTTGCCACATTAGTGCAATCAAATTTCATAAAAACATTCCTTATCATGTCTCGAAATTCCCCAGAATGCATTGAAAGATCATTTAGGTAGTAGACGCTGCCGAAAGCTACGACGTCGCAGGGAATCTGAGTGGGAACCTCAAGAGCAACGTCGCCGACTATTATCTTTTCGCACACTTTCTTTAGAAGATATCTTCTCGCAACTCAACAGTGCTGTTCATATTGTGACACGGCCAATTTCTGAATACAGGTGAAATCGTTTTTAGCCTCTCTGGTGTCCCTTCAAGAACGACAACCGTTGCAAGTCGAAATTTTTCTGGTGCAAAGAGCAGTTCTATCTAGTTAAATGTGAACTTCTAGACAACTGTTCGTGAACTTTCTCTGTCACAGTAGACAGATGTCTGCTACATGCTAAAAACAGCACAAGTAGCAGAAGGACAAAAGAGGAGCAAATGAGATGAGGGCTGTACCTCTCGGTCTCACTTGGTCATTATGTTGTTTGCGCTCTTATTACGATGAATCCAGACTATCTCACCCAAATATTTCTTCTACTAACTCTTCACTGGCTGAGGAGAAATTGAATGTGGGAGTGTGTAGCAACTGTGCACTAGTGTGCCAATGGCGCTTCTACAGTTGACGTGAAAGCATCTCTAGCATGAAATCTTTCAATGTTTTCGTTGAAGAATATACCGCTAAAAATAGATGACAAACCCCGAAAGCTCTCACTCTCCGCAAAACGGAAACCTAGACTTGTGCAGGTGGTTTGCAAGTTTACAGTTTCGTGGTAATTCGGGAATATAAGTAGTATGCCAACTGAGATTTCCCAGGTCAATGTAAATGATAATTTTCCAGTAATAACCCATCAAGCACACAAACTGAAACACCAGTATACTTATATAAAAAATGAGGAGAGAGATATAGAGAAGGAAAATAGGAAAAGGGGCAAGGTTTACTGGAATATGTCCAGTTTGCTATTCCATATTTGGGAAAGGTAATAAAGGCATGAAAGAGAAAAAGAATAAAAACTAAGTCTATCAAGTACTCACGATGTATTACAGTTGAACCCTTTTATAAGAGGCATGTACCAGGCAGCAATTCTTGTTTCTTATCACCAGGTCACCACATATATGTTTCCTAATCAGCCCCTATTTTAAAGTTGGCACCATGGTGTCTGCTATACCTATTTGTTTGTTACATCAGGGTCTCTTATAAAGGGGTTCGACTGTACTGATAAACAAGGAATGTTAATACATGCATTCTCACTAGCACAACACCCGTAGTCTTTGTACATAAGCTGTTGACAACTACAAATCAGACACTTTGATGTGCAATTTAGAGCCATAAGACTGACTTGCACAGTACATTATAAAAAAATACATGGCGATCACAGGAAATGAGACAGACCATAAAGTGTGACAACTGTATTCACACGTCCTCTAGACGACTGCTGAGGCAACAAATTGCACTAAAAGTAAAGAGCAGCCTGGTGGAAAAGTCAACTAAGCTGGCAAGTACCACTGCACTCAAGATATTTCTCGAACTGCAGGAGCTTAAAAACAAACATACAGACAGGACATCACTCTCAACAAACAAGAAATTAAAAGGTTTCTAGCACCTAAGTCACCTTTCAAGTACCATCCATTAGCAGAGCTTACCTGTAATTCCTCAAATTTTTGTCGTCTAATAGATCCCTTGATAACCCTAGTATTTTTGAAACCTCCACAGCCTTGTACACTCAAATCTCCACATAACAAAACCAGATCTAACGAATTATCGGTAATAACGAAGTGAAGAATGGCTTTGTCATAGGTATAGTGCTACAAATATATGTTTATAATGAATTTTCAGATATAACGAAGTATTTTTGGCACATGTGACCTTGTTTTAATGAGGTTTGAGTGTATTTTGATTTCAAGATTGTACAAAGCTATACATACATTGTGGGGCTGTATGGTTCGAAGAGCTATGGTCACACCTGGCTCCGATTCTCTTTGTTTTTTTTCATATGCCACTGCACATAAACTTTCCAGATCAAATGCACATGTGGCAGCAATTTGCTAGATTGTGCAATGCTGGTAGGCTGGCAATGTGACTGCCTTCATGGCAAGTAGGGAGCAGTATGCTGAAATGCCCTTTTAAAAACAACCAACGAACACATGTGCGTTTTTTGTTTTTTCAGCCCTGATGCGACTACAACACCTCACAACCCTTGAATATGAAGAAGGATGTTCACAGGGAATCAAACAGTGTCGATTTGAAATGTCGAAAGTAATGGCAAGAGCCGGAAAAAAAACAACCAAAAGCCCACGAAGCCCACCATCACCATGACACGACATTTCTGATGGTAGATGTGACGCTGTGGTCTTTCCAGTTGGACAGCGTGTACTCGGAAAAGCCGATGTACACGCCAACGCACAGCCCGATGGCACTGGCAACAGATGTGCTCCTCTTGAATATGATCAACGTTGCTATGCAGAGGCCGAGGTAAGTGGCATAGCGTGCCAGCAAGATGTGCAGCTCTCGCCACTTCTCGCCATTGTCTGGGAGGTGGGAAAAGTAGGAGGGAGGGGGAGGACAGATGCCACAGGTTTGTTGGCTCAAGCAAGCGACCAGTCGGGCGGCGAGAAAGCACAACCATCACACCAGAATGAAAACAGAGCGTTCATGCTGTTTCTTCAGAACACATATTTTGTTAACGGGGCCCTGAGCCAATACAGCGAGTAATCATTAGATGACCTCGGCATCGGAGTTTGTTTTGCTCAAGAATCAGTTGCCGCAAAAATATTTCAAGTTAGTCAAAAAAGAGCAGAGTTCAAGGAATCGGTTTCACGCTGTCTCCATTCTCTCCTCCCGATTAGTGCACTCTAAACTACATAGGAGGGAATGACACAACGTCATCACACATCATGACCTTCAGTGTGCGTTATTTCTGCCACGACTCTCCTTCTGATTCATGCGTGCTAGTGTGGCTCACTGTGCAATGCAAGCAGACAATGCAAGGCGCCCTCTCGTGCAATGCCGGCTTAAGAGGGCACCCTGTGGCAAGCAGGGCATCTCATCTAAACGTTGCTTTCAATTGCGTTGGCTATTGGCCAATGGCACGCTTTCTGTTGTTTGACACCAAACAGCAGACACCCCATACATTGAAGAGAGTAAGAGCAGGCCCATGTATGATGAGATGGAGCCTGAGAAAATGGCAACTTTGCACTCCGCTTCTACACTCTCCTTGCGACGCGCAACTGTGAGATTTGGCCAAGTCATTCATAGCAGCGTCTGCTTCCCACGGGATGCGTTTTCTCCTAAAGACCAATGGGTGGTTCATAACATCTTTAAGGGAAGACATCTGCTTTTGTATTTGTGGATATTACACTTCAGAGGTACGTAACTGTGACATGTTCAAAACATATGGCAACAGTTAATATAACAAGCATGCTGCAACAATTTTTACTGGTTAAATCACACAAGCTGTTATTAAAGAAAGCACTGTCAGATTATATGTTTCAGTGTTTGCTGGGGATGCAAGCAATGTGGCAGCGTGATTGGCCTTCGCTCAGACGTGGAGTTTACATTTGTGGGTGCAATCACAATCTAAATTACTTTACGCTGTTTCATTTGGTAACCCCCGAGAACCCAATGAATTAGCCAAACGTATCGCGCAACTAAGGAACTCAACGACGACCTGAAAGTGGTATATAGTTGACTACATGATTGCAGCACGAGGGCACTTCAATGTACTACACTTTGCTTTGAGAGCGCCAGAATGTTTTTCATTATGAGAAATAAGCGAATGAACTTTTTTGCCCAGTTGTCCAGAAAAGAAATTTCACTTCGATACATCACAGTAAACCTATGAGCTTATGAGAACACAACATCAGGATAGATGGGCAAAAACTACAATACTCCAAAGGTTATAGGAAAGGTCTTGTGCAAAAGGTTCTACACGAGTAAATCAATTTCAGTAGTGAATGAAAGTTCCGTTGTACGAACATGTGTGGGCACTCGCCAGGCCTTACATGTGGGACAAAATTTACAGAACAATCGACTTATTGGAGAACTTTAGTAAGATATGGAAATACAGTACACAAATACGCCACCATATAACCATTCCACTACTCCTTTCCCAGTCATCGACCTTCAGCAGGTGAAGACAACTCAACATAACAAATGCTTTTTCTAAAACTACTGTGGGGTTGTCACACCTCATTGTTGCCAGTCAGCAAAGGCATTGTAAAGGAGACGCCTGTTGTGGCAGCGAAGCAGTGTCACTTGAACAAGAGGGGGAGAAAAACACAAGTGGGAAAGGATGAACACTATTGGACTGCCTTACTGCATTGGCGTATCGAATTTCCGTAACTTGCTAAATCTTTCTATTTAAAAGTCTATACTACATAAACCTGCTCGAAAGAGTTTTGCAAACACCTCACAACACCAAGACACTCTCATGCAAGATGCAAATTTATGTAACTAGCTTGTCTTCTCAAGGTCAACTGTCGAAACACGAAGCGAAACATAAACCAATAGACTCAAAAGAACCAAAATATTCTTTTTTTTTTTTCACAGTAACTAATTTTTAAGCTAAAGTTTTCTGTTTGTTGAAACTTGAAAATTTTGGGAAGTTTTCACAACGAATTGGAGCTCTTAAATCAGACAAATTTAAGTCTCATTAGTACAGTAGCCATCTCAAAAGTGCCTTGGAAATCAATGTGCATTTCAGTCTGAAAGTCAGAGTTGACTATGAAAAACAGCTTCCTCTAGAGGCAACACAAATATAAAGACACAGATGCATTATAAGTATAGGCACAGTCTGCAGGAACTGTGCATCCGTGTTCCTTCTACCTTGAATATATATCGCAGTCCTGTGTTTTTGCAAGACTGAGACATTTCAAGCCCGCCCACACGTGCACACACACACACACACACACTAGAAAAGACTAAAGAAACTGCGGCTATGCAGCTGAAAAGCATAATCACAGAAGCAGCTACTTCGAAGAACACACTTTCACCTGCCAAGCCGTTGCCCCCAGACACTTGGCACTGACATTTTGTGCATGCAAAACTTACCGTACTGGACGTCATCTATGAAAGACGTGAGACACACCAAGAAGGAAGAAAAGAACAGAATGAGCACAAGTGCCGAGCAAGGTGGGAAAGATGAAAAAGGCATGCAGGCATTTTAGGACAAGCACCATTCATAAGAGTCTGTCACGAAGCACTATCACGGGCATGCATCGGAATAACTTTTGTAAGTAATCACCCATGCGTGCGAGCAATGAGCGAGCGAGTGAAGAAGCCGGACGAATTTGCCAGTTAGGCTGGCAACTAGTACACTATGTATTTCATATGCTAGATGATACCGAACAGAGTTAAAAACTATGAAGGATCCCTGTGAAGGCAAAAGAGAGTGCATGTTTCTAGCAACTTTGCAAGGAAGCCATCAGTATTTCTTGTACTCCGATAAAGGCCAACTGCAATGAAATTTGACTTGGGCAGAATAGGTTTGGAATGCGTAGAATATGTTAAGTAAGCAATGATAATGACAGTGAAAAAGCTTGCAATTGTGTATTCCCTTTTTAATTAGAGCACATCAATTTGACACATCAAGTTCATTGCTTTAACAGCATGTGTTTGGAGATGCCGATTGCACATAGAGAACTTTGCAGAACGTGATCATTACCTAACCTTGATTACCACACACCATAGCGTTTTTCTGGCTCGATGCCCACACTGTCAGCAATTTGTTGCATATACTTATCTTCCGCAAGTTGTACTCTACAACCTCTCACTGTTGCTAACTATCTTTGCCTCTTAAGCCTGGTGCAAACGATCTAACTTTTTATGCTTAAAGAACTGTCAGCGAGCTACAGTTTTCTGTAGACTATGATGCAGATCACTAACAGGGCCTCCCCATAAGCATTTTTGTAGCACCCTGTGACATTTGCGATATGCCCAAGTTTTGATTTGATTTGAGGGACACACTACAGTGCGGTCGTGACAACGAGGCTTTGATGCGACTCACCTTCACCCTCCTCTTCATCTATAAAAGTGAGGAAAGCAGCAGGTGCAGATTGAGTGCAACAGAAAGTGCGACAAGACCAAAAAAAAGCAATAAAACAGAGTTACAACATTCAAGACATGCAGCGATAGAACACAGTCGGAACAGTGGGTAAGAAGATAAGTCAAGCCAACTGCAACCAAGCTCGTATGTTTGACCACCAAGAAGGCTTAAGAAGACATGCTGGAGTGCAAATTGTGCCTCGAGGATGACGCCTTATCCATTTTAAGATGGCAGCTGCCATCTTAGTAGGGGTAGGGTAAAACGTTCAGCGAAGGAAGTCTTTTTTCTTCCCCAACTAACAAGTTTATTGTGGCACATCTTTCCAGACTGTTACTGCTGAATTTGTGTCTTTGAGTTGCTGGTTTCTCCAAGGAACCTCGAAGTCTTGTCGAATATTAATGGAGATCCAGTTGTTTACTCATCTCTATACTATTACTTTTGCCAAGAACGACTATCGGCGATTTTAGAATCGATTTAGTGTTTACAGTAACACAGCCAAACAACTTTATCTCTAAGTGGGCACTATCCACAAATGGCATGTTTTTGAGATAAAGGATGGGAAAGCTGTGGGTCCACTTCAGCAGCTTCAGCAGGTAAGGCAATGCAAGAGCTTTCACTGAAGGATTTTTTTTAAAAACTTCTTTGTGTATCACCCACTGCTTTGCTTTTGTTTTTCTTCCTTTTGATCTCATTTCCATATGTTTCTTTACTTTTTCATAGCTTCTAACAAGTCACGCGCACATTGGCTTAATTTCGCAAACAGTCCTTCGAACACTGTATCATGGGTGTTCTATTGAGTACTAGTACTGGTCAGCTTCGTTGACTAAACCAATCTTCAACCGTTTATTTCAGTGAATGGAAGCAGTGTTGAGCTGCACAACTGCAGCTTTTATTTTCCCATCTCTCCAGCCTCGCAAGAACGAAGCGGTATAATGAATCCCTAGGTACATATATGCATGTCTTGAATTCATACTAGACAAATACGTCAAACGGCATATCACAAGGAGCCCAGCTTTAGATACAGCAGGCGTACAGCAGCTTCTGTGCAATGCCATTCCGTCAAAGTGAGAATCAAGGCATCGCAAAAAGTTCGCAAACACTTCTGCTTTTCATTAGTGTCATATATATTGCCCAGCATTTCAAAACCGGGACACAGTTGTGGCGGACACTACAGTGCAGTACTCTGGAATGATAAAGTACTTATCATGGCATATGGGTATCCTCGCACTCCACTCCCATTGTAAACAGCCATTGCACTTGGGTGTTCGTCACTGTACTGCTTTTAGTCGCAAAATTCTACAGACAAACTACCCCAGTGTGCAACTAAATTTGATGTGTCTGATGTTGAAAATGAAGAAAAAACAAAGTGCCATTGTTACTATACTAGTTGCAAGAGGATGGGCTAGATGAAGACTTTGAGACATTAGGAGCCCGAGATGTTACCATATGCACTCGAGCTACGCTCATCACGTACCGAAAATATTCACGGGGCTAGTGTTTCAAGCTTGCTTCCGATCTTTCAACAACCTGGTTCATTCGTCATGTGCTTAGAATTACTTTAAGGCTATTAATCACAAGAACCAGACAATTACCAGAGCAGATTTCAAAACGAATGATCTCAGACATTTACCATCAAATCTCGCCAATGTTAAGTTAAGTTGCAGTCAGCCAGTACGTATGCAGTACACAAGCTTACATGCAGCTTCGAAAAAAAGGTGTATTGGCAACCAAAAAAGCACTACCATACCTGCATCAGTTGCATCTGCAATCAGAAAGAGGATGAAATGAAAACGTGAGAACTAAACAAGCACAAGCCAAAAAAAAGATAATAGCAGAATACCTCACTCCATGCAAAATAGACAATACAGGAAAAGCAAGGAAAGTAAAGGATGGTGCTCTACATGCCTAAATGAATGTAACTGAAATGTGCATGTGCGTACAACTTACCTTGGGTGAAAAAATGCTGAACAAGCTAGGTTTCTGTGACAAAACACTAAGTAGTTGTTTATACTGCCTTTCCTGTATAAATCTGCGCTGTTGTGCACAGTCAAATGCAGCACATACCCAACCCTAGGAGAGAATATTTTTAACTGCGAGGCAACTTACCAGCAACACCTCAAGCCCCAAGAGATGGCAATTAACTAATTCAAACAGTCAATCAAATCAAGTGTATTGTAGAATAAATACCTACACAAATATTTTTATCCAGAATGTACAAATTTTTAATGTGCAAATAGTATATGTCTACAGCTGCTACAATTTCAACCTATTCAGTGTTTGTCTGCAGTACTTAGCAAAACCTAATTAAGCCCTTTGTCAGTAAAAAAAAAGCAACGCGAATTGAGCAGTTGTCTCGCGTCTTACCGACAAGCGGTGCTAGCAAATATTGCTCCTGTAAATACATCGGCAAGCCAATTTAAGGCTAGTTCTCACAAAAGCCTAACATGTTAGTACGGATGACAGCAATAGAGTTTAGGTTAATTGTGGCCTCTAAAGTATGTTTCAATCAGCAATAATGACATGACAGAAGAGAATTTTACATTCCCCCTTCATGGAGTTGAATACAAAAGTAGGTAAATATTACACTTCGCTATGTCATCATACACATTGTGTTCATTCCAAAAGTTTACTGAAATACACTCAAAGCTCATTATAGCAAAGTTGCATGCTACACAAAAATGACTTTGATATATTCGAAGTTTCGTTATAAAGGTTTATGTTAAAAAATATGCCTATTGCAAGACTATTTTTTCAAATACTTTGTTATAACTGAAACGGGGTGTTGAGCCAGGAGGAGTTGACTCGGCGAACGAAAGCTTTATTGAGCGCAAGGGCTAACTGAACGCAAGCCTGCGATCACAGCAAGTCTTCTTCCTTTTCTATATTCGAGCTCCATGCCCACTGCCCTCGTTACAATCACCCCCGGGCGATGAGGGAGCCATCCTGGCGACCTAAGGACAGGTGTACACAGAAGGGTCATGGTATGGCTTGAGCCGAGAGATGTGTACAATTTCTTGTCCCCGACGGCGCTTGTCGGGAGATGCATCCAGCGGCTCGATCAGGTAGTTGACAGGGGATGTTTGGCGTACAACTCGATAAGGGCCATGGTACCTGAACGAAAGCTTGTGGTAGAGTCCTGGAGGAGTAGAAGGAATCCATAACCACACCAGTGAGTTCGAAGCAAAGCTCATAGGCGTGGTTGGCACGTCGTGGCGATGTTTTTGGCACGTCTGGTCATGTGACGTGAACGCACGAGCAACCTTCCGACATTCTTCAGCGTGTGCTGCTGCTCGAGAAACGGTAGTCATCTCTGAAGGGTCCGGTCGATAAGGAAGAATAGTATCCATTGTTGATGATGGCTCGCGTCCATAAAGAAGAAAGAAAGGCGAAAATCCAGTGGTGCTTTGCGTTGCAGTGTTGTAAGCATATGTCACAAAAGGCAGTATGCTATCCCAATTTGACTGGTCGGATGAAGCGTACTTGGCTAGCATATCCCCAAGTGTACGATTAAAACGCTCTGTCATCCCATTAGTTTGCGGATGATAGGCTGTGGTAGTGCGGTGTATGATGCGACACTCGCTCAACAACGCTTTGATGGCATCGGAGAGAAAAACGCGGCTGCGGTCGCTTAGTAACTCTCGAGGTGCTCCATGCCTTAAAACCAGGTTTCGCAGTATAAATCATGCAACGTCTTTTGCGGTAGCAGAAGGTAACGCAGCTGTTTCAGCGTACCGCGTTAGGTGGTCGATAGCGACAATGACCCAGCGGTTGCTACTCGAAGTATAGGGAAGCGGACCGTAAAGGTCGATTCCGACACGATCGAAAGCTCGTGCATGGCAACGGCTGCAAGGGACCTGTGGCGTGCTGAGTGGGCATTTTGCGTCACTGGCACGTAAGGCAAGACCTTACATAACGGCGAACGAAACGGTACATACCGCGCCAGTAGTACCGCAGCTGCAAGCGAGTGTATGTTTTTAACACACCAGCGTGGCCACATTGCGGATCATCGTGGAACGTGGCACAGATGTTAGAGCGCAGATGTCGGGGAATGACGAGCAACCACTTACGACCCATCGAACTGTAGTTTCGACGGTAAAACAGGTTATCCCGAATAGCGAAGTGTCCTGCTTGACGGCGAAGCGTCCTGGAAACTGGAGCGGGCGTTCGGTTTGACAGCAAGTCCAAAAGAGAAGAAATCCAAGCATCTTTGCGTTGCTCGGAAGGCATGTCCGAAATGCTGATGGCCAAGGCAGCACTGGTGGAGATAGGCGAGCCGACAGGCTCTGAAGCCAATGGCGAACGTGACAGGGCATCGGCGTCGGAATGCTTACGGCCAGAACGGTAGACAACACGGATATCGAATTCCTGTAACCGCAATGCCCAACGAGCGAGCCGACCATTAGGATCTTTTAGTGAAGATAACCAGCAAAGCGCATGGTGGTCTGTTACAATATCAAATGGACGTCCATATAAATAAGGCCGAAATTTTCCGATTGCCTAAATAATGGCAAGGCACTCCTTTTCAGTTACACTGTAATTCTTCTCGGCTTTATTGAGGGTGCGGCTGGCATAGGCAACAACATACTCGTCAAAGCCATCCTTGCGTTGGGCCAGTATGGGCCCTAGCCCGACACCACTAGCGTCTGTATGAAGCTCCGTTGGAGCAGACGGATCGAAATGTCGGAGTATGGGAGGCGTGGTGAGGAGCCGTCGGAGTTCCTGAAATGCATCATCACACGCCTGCGACCACGCTGACAAATCAGAACTTCCGGCAAAAAGATTGGTCAAGGGGGCGATAATGGAGGCGAAATTGCGGACGTAGCGCCGGAAGTAAGATCATAGGCCGATGAAGCTTCGAAGCTCTTTGATGGTGGTTGGCTTTGGGAACGCCGCGACTGCATTAAGTTTCGTAGGGTCCGGGAGAATGCCGTCCTTAGAAACTACATGGCCGAGAATCACAAGCTTGCGAGCGCCGAAGTGGCATTTCTTCAAGTTAAGTTGAAGTCCCGCCGTGGAAAGGCACGTAAGAACTTGCTCGAGGCGGCTGAGGTGGGTCGCAAAGTCGCTTGAAAATACCACAATGTCGTCCAAATAACAGAGGCACGTTTTCCATTTCAGACCTCGCAAGATGGTATCCATCATCCTTTCGAAAGTGGCAGGCGCATTGCAGAGGCCAAAGGGCATAACGGTGAATTCATATAGTCCATCCGGTGTTGCAAAGGCTGTCTTCGGGCGGTCACCCTCTACCATGGGCACCTGCCAGTAGCCGGAGCGTAAATCTAACGAACAAAAGAACTCTGCACCTTGTAGGCAGTCCAGAGCATCATCGATGCACGGCAGAGGGTATACGTCTTTGCGCGTTATCTTGTTGAGTCGGCGGTAGTCAACGCAGAACCGCATGGATCCGTCTTTTTTCTTGACGAGAACAACCGGTGAAGCCCAAGGACTGTTTTAGGGCTCGATGATGCCACGTTTCAACATGTCGTCCACTTGTTCGTTGATGACATGGCGTTCAGCAGATGACACACGGTACGGACGCTGTCTTAGCGGGGCTTGTTGACCGGTGTCAATACGGTGAACGACCGCAGAGGTTCGGCCTAAGCCTGACTGGTCACGATCGAATGAAGAGCGAAAGCGGAGAAGAAGATTTATAATCTCTTCGCGCTGAGTTGGTGCGAGCTCAGAGTCGATGGCATCCGAGAATACGCCGAGAAAATCATTAGGCGTGTTGGTAGGAGTGACAGCACAAATTGGGTGCGAAACCGTAGAATCGGGTATAGTAGGCGGTTGCGAAAAACGACGACGGCAAACGGAAGCATGATATTTCGACGGCACGCAAATGGGACCGATGGCATAAACAACACAGGCGATTTCGGGGGGGGGAGGCACACGACACCAAGACAACAACAGCTGAGAAAGGCGCAATGTCAACGTCAGAAGCAGCAAACACTCTACACGAAGCGCCATCGTCGGGGTCATAGCACGGCACAGATAATGCGAGTTCGGAACAAGCACAGTCGACCAAAGCAGAATTTGACGAAAGAAAGTCCCATCCAAGGATAACGTCATGCGAAGAACGGAATAAAACTACAAATGAGATGACGTACATCGCACCTTGAATGACGACTCATGCAGTGCACACAGCTGAAGGCTGAATATGATGGGACGTAGCTGTCTGCAAAGATAGGTCGGTAAGTTGCATGGTCACTTTCTTCAAGTTTCGGCACAGTTTCTCGCTAATTACAGATACGGCAGCTCCAGTGTCAACAAGTCCGTGCACCTTAATGCCATCAATATAGAGTTCGATTTCGTTCGGAGGACAGCAGTTAGGTCTTGAAATTTTCGCTGCCAACGCAGTTCTTGCCTCCGGAACTGCGCCCGTCAGTTTTCCCCTCGCAGTGGGCTGTTGCAACGTAACATTGGAGAAATAGATCTGCGACGAGGAGAAGGCGAACGGCTTGAGCCGGATGGGCGGCGACCGGTACGTACGTCTAGAGGTGGATCGGCAGGAACGGGATATCGCGGATGAGTGGGCATGTAGTGTGAGGCCCCTGCAGTGTCATGATAAGGGAAGCTGTGACGGCGGCAGTCACGAGCTATGTGGCCTGGGATGCCACATGAAAAACATATTGGCCGATTATCCTGAGTGCGCCATTGGCTGATGGTAGGGGCACTTGTCGCCGAATAAGGTACCGGAAACGGTCGTGCAGGCGGCGGCTTCATATTAACGTTCCGAGTTTTTTCGTATACAGCCGGAGACGGGACAGTCAACGGGCGGGCAGGTGGCGTCGACGAATAAACGTGGCGAGTTGCTTCGTAGATAGCCGGAGATGATGGAGCGCGTGGCCGAGCAACAGCGGCTGCATATGTTAGTGGTGCGGTAACAGATGGTGGAGCCTGAGCTGGCGGCTATGCTTCGGCAACTTGCGATTCAATGACCTGGCGAAGCGAAGGTGATAAGGGTGCCATCGGCTCAGTAGTTCTGGTGATTATAGATAGCTGCCGGGCGACCTTCTCGCGTATGAATTGCTTTATGAGTGGCATTAAAGCAGAGTGGTCGGCAGTGTCATGGCTATAGTCGAGGGATGAGAGGTCCACGGTGTCTTGAGCAGCGCAACGTGTGGAAGCACGTTGCCTACGCAGCTGATCATAACTTTGGCAGAGCTGAATCACCTCGGCGACTGTCTGGGGACACTTCGCAGCAAGCATTTGGAATGCACCGTCGTCGATTCCTTTCATTATGTTTTTTATCTTGCCTGCCTCATTCAGAGTCGGGTCGACGAGCTGGCAGAGGAAGAGCACATCTTCGATGTAGCTCGTGAAAGTCTCATCTGTTCTCTGTACTCTGCCACGCAAGCGCTGTTCAGCACGAAGGCGGCGGACAGCAGGACGTCCAAAAACTTCCAAGAGGGTTTTTGCCAATTCCGACCACGTACTGAAATCACTTCAATGATTCCTGTACCATAGTTTCGCCACGTCGGTCAGGTAAAAATTCACATTTGTGAGCTTATCGGCTGCGTTCCACTTATTGTACGCGCTCACCAGTTCATACTTGGCAATCCAGTTGTCCACATCTTGGTCCTCTGTGCCACCAAATATGGGGGGGTCGCGCTGCCGGAGAGCGCCAGCGCAGAAGACAGGTATGGGTGCGAGAGCTGGAGTAGCGACCTGAGACGGTCCTGGATCAGTCATCGCAGAAGGTGGTTGGAGTGTGCGGCTACGAAGTTCCAGGGTGAGGACCAGATGTATCCCAGCACTTCCACCACTTGAAACGGGGTGTTGAACCAGCAGGAGTTGACTCGGCGAACGAAAGCTTTATTGAGCGCAAGGGCTAACTGAACGCAAGCCTGCGATCACAGCAAGTCTTCTTCCTTTTCTATATTCGAGCTCCATGCCCACTGCCCTCGTTACATATATCCGTTATATTTCGTTATATCCGGTTTTGTTATATTGAGGTCTGAGTGTACTTGCCTCTTACACAGTACTATTTTCCGGCTTCTTGCATCATAAGCTTCCTAGCTACTCTACCCAAGTGTAGCTTTGAATTAAGCATGTCTCGCTTGGGCTCACTAAACTTAGTTTTAAAAATATGGAAGAATTTTTTCTCTTCTGCTCCTTACAGCCTTCTGTTTCTTCAAATGGAGAACAAATAGGTTTTATACAAGGACTTATTAGTTAAAGATCAAGCTGCAAGTAAAACTATGGAAAATGCTAGGCATGCAGTGACAAGATAAATAATGAGACTGTCATTATAGACAAAATGAAGTAAGACATTACAGCTAGACACATAAGTGAGATGGGCGGGTTATGCCATTCACAGAACAGTCAATTTGTGTTCGGTTATTGCAAGAAGCGATTCGCAAAAGGCAAGTGACTGAGGGATACGACGACGATAGGACAAAAAAAAGAGGTAATGAGGTTGGAAAGCGTGCAGGTGTTGGAGATGTGCTGCAGACGATGATGGAGATGGCGTGACGATGTTGTGCGAATAACTCACCGATACAGGTTTTGTCCTTCAAGACGTAGCTCTTGGCACATTTGATGCAGTGGTCGGGTCCATCCCCGGTGCAGCCTTCGCAGGCAAAGTCGCACACTGCAAGTCGTCGAGAGAAAAAACGCGGGAAGGTTAACAGCGAACAAAGTAGTACACTAGTCACACATGGAAGGTCGAAGCGCATGCAGCGTTTCTACGATTTCATACCACTCAAGGATATTATAAACAGCTTCATCGAAAAAAAAAAAGCATCAGCACGTAAGAGTTATAGCAACGATGACTCTAGACAGCTACAAAATTTGTGGAAACACTTCAGAGAAATCTCAACGCCTAGATTGGTCTCAAGGACATCGCCCCTGTTGTGGATGTTCCATTGTCTCGATGCCGAGAAAGATTTTGTCTACACTGATTAGTGATAAGACGAAGCGGGAGAACACTTCTAATAGAGAGATATGATTTGTTCAATGCTGTTGGACCACAGGAATGATATTCGTTGAGCTGCAAAAGCCTGCAATGCATCTTCTCCTATAGGCGTACACACAATGGGGAGGAAGTCGGGGTGACTGTCCAATCTAATCAACAAAGGGGAGGTGCTAAGTTGGCCTATAGCTTTACTTAATCAGACCTGTCCTGTCATTGCTTAATATGCTGGGCTTATTGACATGTCTATTTTTTACCGTAACGGCGGCCAAGGAATTCTCAAGTTGCATTTCAAGAACTGTCAGATTTCTACTTTTACCTACAGAAAGCCAAGGACCTAAGGCATGCTGCTGTAAGCAGTAGAAAGCGAGGGCGCCAATCTGCATGGATATTGAAGACAAGTTCCTGGAGTGTGCTCACGCTCGGGGGTTTACACCGTTCTGGCAGGACCTCTGCCACTTGAGCCAGGATGGGACAACAATAAAGATCACTCTCTCATGTTCACAACTCTGCGTCATCTCTGAGGGCTTCAGCTGACCCCTGGCCTGGAGCTCACAGCTTATTGCGTCATTTTCATTCTTGCAACCTTTGCGAAGCTTACTTTTCGAGGGGCGAGGGGCAATGAGATATTTTTGTAGCTGGCGCTCAATGAGCTTTTCGTTAGAGGGGCGCTGACACAAAATTTTGCGATTGAGCTAGCCAGCAGTATCGATTCTTGTCAACATACGTATATTATCTGCGAAATATCAACCGTCAATACAGCTTAGAAGGTACTTTAAAGTAATTTTGAAGTTTGCATGAGACATCCTATCCATCGCGCTATTGACAGCCTCAAAGGGGTCCATTAGAGAACCTCTACTTCCCTCACGTGACGACGCTGCAGCAAGTTATGGTGACATCATAGCCTCCATTTTTCTTTGGCCGAGTTGCTCACGAGTCTGTGGCTGCAGTGCACGAGTTGAAAATCTTGTGTTTGAAAACACTGCTGTCGCATTTTGTGTTCGAAGAAATTTCTTGATTGGCACCACGTGGAAGTGCGTCACTGTTCTGTGTGCTGACATGGTCGAGCGTCGCACCCACTAGGTGGTGATGGTTGCACCTGGTGGCTTGCCGTTTTCAAAACTGATACTGACATCGGTCGGTAATAACGAGTCTGTAATTAATTATCTGTCGCATAATGCAGAAACTGATGTGTTGCATTATGACTAAAAGGCTCCCAAAAACACATTGCAGGAAGAAAAAAAAAAACGCGGGGCCAAAATTTTTGCGTCAGTACCTCTTTGACAGGCCGCACGAACTCTCTACTTTACACTACAGAACTGTGAATTTTCTGATCCAGGTGCCCTACCTCATGTCTTTATATCAGACCTTTGCACAGTCATTCTAGTAAAAAAATTCACTTTTATCTTACAACGATTTTCTAAAAAGAAGTTTTTTTCAAAAACACGCTTAAGTACTCTTTTCTTCTTTTGCCCTACTTGTAGAAACACAATCTGTAACAGAAATGTTGCAAATGCCTTTTTATAAATTTGACAATGTTTTGAAGTTCCTCTGTGAAATGGAAAACGCAGCAAGGTGCGTCAAACTTGGCAAATTGTTTTCTTTATTTGGGCTGTGTTTGCCATTTTCGCACATTTTTTTCTTTTAAAGACAGCATAAATATGCGTGAGTATATAACACAATATTATGTATTAAAAGCAGCCGAAAAAAGTTTTGACGCGATAAATTAGGCCATAAAATTCGAACAAACAGAGAAACAGAGGTGAGCAAAAATTGGACGTACACGCCACCCCCTTTAAATACTTTCATCGCGCACTGGGAGCTTTTTTCGGAAATAAAATTTAGTTTAGTACACTTTCAATGTGCCCACATCACATATCTGAACCTCTTTGTTTTAGCCGAAAACTTCACAATATGTCACAGTGAGGCAAGTGCGCTTTCCTGCAACGCTGCATCATAAAGGAACAAATTCGACTTCTGAAAGACATACAGAAACATACAGAAAATAAACATATGAAAGATGTACAGTTAGATCTTTACTAGAATCATTATCCAATCGAACCCGAATTTTGGTGCTTTCGCGAACCTCTATACAAGAACAAAGCTCTACTCACTCATGCATTTGTAGGAGCCCGGCGTGTTGGCACAGAATGTGTTTCTCTCCTTCTCGCAGAGGTTCTCTTCAGACTCAATGCACTCATCGATGTCTGCAGTACAAAGAGAAAGAACGAATTTTCACTATGCACAGAAGACCTAACTTGAAGGAATACTAAAGTAAAACACCAAGTCACTCCAGGCATCTAAGCTATTCTTCCAGACCATTATTGTCATTAATTTCACCGTTGTAGAGTAACTAAAGGTGCCTGCAACACTTCTTCAGCAGGATCAGAAAAACACTGCTGATCAGTAGAGGCTCCTAAGAGACTCCGGTAAAGACTCCTGAGCCAAACATTTAAGCACAGCGTGCAGCCTTGAATTTCTATTATATTTTCAGTCAGCCAGAAATCGTTTCCTTTTTTTTTTAACAAATGATGTTGTACACCCAAACGACCACGCCATATACCCCATTTTATGGCCACTGGCCGATTTGGGCATTATGGGCTGCATAGTTCTCACGTCTATCACAGGAGGCCGCCACGTACTCACGCATGCGTTCGCGATAACATTGAAAGTAAGCATTTGAAAAAAAAAAAAAAAGCATGATGTGCTCAATGTCGTGACGCGCGTGTAACCCTTTTTCCCCGTGCCATTCCTCCCTGCTTGGCTTGTAGAGTGCTCGTCGAGACAAGAGAAAGCAATTACTGCTTGTACTCGACAGACTCCAAAAACTTTTGTGGGAGTTGATTCGTGAACTAACGAACCCCTTTTATAGAAGCCATTTATTCAGAGTAAATGAAGGTCAAAGTCTCGTTATTCAATTTCACACTGAAACTCCGACACGTGAACATCAGCATAACATCGTAGATATTGAAGTATTTTTGCATATTTAAGCGGCATTGATTGGATGGAATTTCCCAATACTTGCTATTCCTAAAGATTGGGCCCCTCAGACGTAGGAGCACATTGTAAACCATTTTTACCATACAGTTGAACCCCTTTTAGGAGGCATGCTCTGGGTAGCAATTCTTGTCTCCTCTCGTATGTTTGTCTTGTCTCGTATGTTTCTCGTAAGCAGAGTACCAGGCATGCATTTTCTTATCTACTCGTATTTTACTGTAGGAACACTGGTGTCTTTTATAAAGGGGTTCGACTGTAAATGATTACATAGGTCTTAGCAGACGCCATCAAAGTGGCACTTTTGGTACAATAATATTTCTATTTACAAAGACTAGAAAAATCATTTTTGTCTTTACTGTCCTTAGAAGCTTTGTCGTAGGATCTCCTTTATAGTTTAGTATAATACCAAACGACGCAAAGTTTAATGTATAACAAATGCTGACACTGCAGATGTACTGCTTCTCCAACTGACATTCATCTTTGATGACAAATAACAAGATGTACATTCGTCTTGTCTAAAAGGCCGACTAAAAGGCATGAATGCCTGACAGAGCGTCATACCCATTTCTTTCCCACAAATCCCTCAAATAACAGAGGCAGCTATATAAGCTTAGCACAGAATAAAATATGTGCATAATACAAAAGAACTATGCCAACACAAGAATTAATTGCGCAATGCAATATAATATCAGTAAACACAAGATTAAAACAATTCTGAGAGTGTAGTACAGATATATACAAGGACCACTAAAAATGTAGGTTTTAACAGCGGAGCTGTTTAAGTAGTATAAAGGGGCTTGCAACCCTTTTTTAGCATGGTCATAAAACAATACCGATGGGTTGCAGCTCCCGAGTTAAGGCTCCGGAAAAAACGTGAGCCAAACATCATAACGCAGCATGCGACCAGGAAATAACGACAAAATTCTTAGTCAGCTAAAAACTGCTTTCCCTTCTCTGGACAAATGAGGATAGTAGCTCAAAAACCACTGGTCACAGCCCCTGTTTCAGCCATGGGTCGATTTGAGCATTGCACGCCCGGTCATTACTCGGGCCGCCTGAAAAGGCCGCGACTTATTCACGTGCGATCGCACTGCAAAGCTGTGCATTTCAAGAAAAAGAGAAGTGCTTAAGGTCCTTCATGTTCTCTCATAGTTGCTCACCTAAAAATAGGATTTTAACATTAATACTAAAAAATATTTACATAAAAGCAAAGCGGCTACCACCTCACAATGTGTGTCTCCCCCCAAAATTTTTTCTAAATTTTTGCCACTCATTAAGGTCATGGTATTTAGTTTGCTAATTATGACTGTTAATTAGTACCTTGCTTATATTATAGGTCGGTCACAAGCTCCACTGTTAGTCCAGCTTAGCACCACTAGTGCAAACTGCTCGTATTGTTCTTTATAATTTTTTTCCCCCCCAAAATTTTTTCTAAATTTTTGCCACTCATTAAGGTCATGGTATTTAGTTTGCTAATTATGACTGTTAATTAGTACCTTTCTTATATTATAGGTCGGTCACAAGCTCCACTGTTAGTCCAGCTTAGCACCACTAGTGCAAACTGCTCATATTGTTCTTTATAATTTTTTTTTTCAAGTGAGCTAGGACAAAAATGTAACTCGATACATACAGCAACAACATAAAATTATTTAAACTCACCGACGCATCCCAGCTCTTCGTTCATGGTGTAACCAGCGGAGCACTCTTTGCACGCCTTGGGGCCAGCCTCAGTGCAGGGGCCCTTGCACGATGGGTCGCACTTGGTGCAGGTCCTGGTGCCATTGGCACCCGGCTTGTCTTCATAGTAGCCCTCGGTGCAAGAGTCGCACAGCTCACCTGTGTAACCCTGGTGGCATTCGCACTTGCCGTTGCCCTTACGAGTTCCAGAGCCCTGTCAAGAGCGAAAATTAGCTTAGCACGGTATTTCCGTGGGATTAGATTGTGCAATCATTTGCAATTGTCTATAAAAATTAATGTTATACTCCTATTGAAAAATAAAGCATTGGTTCATTTTTGTGATGGTGTTTGTTCATTAGTTCTTGTACTGATATACATACCATATTTCTTTTAGAGCGAAGTTGTCTTGGTCCACCCTGGTCCATTACTGTCATAGTAGCAGTAGCAGTCACAAGTGACACAATAGAAGGGGAAAGTGAATAAATAAAACAAACTGATGATAATACTGCCCATCAACACAATGCCGAAACTTAACAGCCAAATTTTATGCTTGACCCAAAGGCCAACAAACTTGCTGTCCCATGGCTTGAAGGGCATGAAACTGGCTACAATTGGTTTCATGTACTAAACCTTTTGTAGTTATGCACAAGTTATACCTACTAATTTGTTAATCAGAGCTGATGAAGCATTTATTTATGCATAGCTGTCACTAACAGTACCAACACAGTACTGTACTTTGAAACACGCATCATTGGTGTCCACTAGTTTTTTACAAAGTGGTGATACAGTGCTCGTGTGTCGTCGATCACATTTTTCTCGCTCCCACTGGCCTAACTGGCATAATATAGCCTAAAGTGGCGCAATAGATGAGAGTTGGTTGACATTATTTCACTAGTTTAAAATGTGATTAACGTTTGTGTTGCAAAGCGCACAGTGCAAACAAGGAGGTATTGAAAAAAATTGCTGGAGTGAAAATTAATGCTCAAGAGTGAAGCTGTACTCACCAAAGGATGGTGGCTGTGGTCGCCATGTTACTAGGGGCATGAAAAACTGTCACCGTTCGGTGATTAAAAATGGAGCATTTTCCTTGTACGCCCAAATACTTTATGGGGCCACTTTTTCAGGTCAGATAGTGCTCCAAGTGCACCTTAGTGTTACTAGTTTGCCTTGGCAAAAAAACTCGGCTTGTAGGTAACGTTTACAGGAGATTAAGTCACCAATACTCGTCTCTATGTGTTATATTGTCAGGAACAGCTATCTTTTATTTATAATTATGTAGTGTTAACACTAACAGATCAAAACCACTAGATTTTTAAGTGGGCACTACCGAAAAAGAGCATGTTTTTGAGCTCTCTGGTGGGCAAAAGCTGGCTTCACTTTTGCTGGCAAGGCATTGCGGGAGCTTCCAGTCCAGCAAATTTTTTTTAAACCCCTTGTCTATGGCAAGTAAATGCACATTCTGGGACTTCGAGTATGTTATGCCTTTTGTTTGTGCATTTTGTCAAACTTGACAATCTTCCTAATTACAAACTAGATGCTAGAATTCATTAAAAACAGGATCAGCTACATTAATTTTTTTATTTTGAACAAACTACCAAAAATCATAGTGCTTGTTACAGCTGGGTTTGACAGTACTATGATTGATTGATATGTGGGGTTTAACGTCCCAAAACCACCACATGATTATGACAGACGCCAAAGTAGAGGGCTCCAAAAATTTTGACCACCTGGTGTTCTTTAACGTGCACCCAAATCTGAGCACACGGGCCTACAGAATTTTTGCCTCTATCGAAAATGCAACCGCCGCAGCCGGGATTCGATCCCACAACCTGCGAGTCAGCAGCCGAGTACTTTAGCCACTAGACCACCACAGCGGCGCCTTGACTGTACTATGTGCGAAAGGCAAAAATTTTGTGACCAAAGCAAATTCAATTATTGAAGTGTGAGCGAGAATAGAATATTTTGAAGTGAAACTGGAGAAAAAGTTGGAGACAATTCCCATGCATACTCTTATGAGCTAGCAACAAGAAAATGTTTCTTTTGGCTAGATTGATGAAGTGCTGGCAAGGGTGTGTTTCTTTGTTGACTTACCATCAATGAGGCAATGCGGAGGCTGCATAGTATTTATGTATGAGATTTGATCCAACCAAAGCGTTGTCAACACTGCACACATAAAAGGCAAGGACGCTATTTCCTCAGCCTCTTCTCTTCTTTCAACTTTGTGGACACCCAACTCAAAGCTTCAAATCTGCCTCACATACGTCAGTATATAAAAAAATATGAAATTTTGGATGCTAAAATCTTCGGCATGCAATTTCATGCCCAGTTTATCATCTCCATGTTGGAGTCGGCATTGTCTCGAGTCAATACATTTGTGACTATAGCAGAGCCCGAAAAGCCGCTTTGCTCCAATCAAGTGTGATGGGTTGCAGCAACTGAAGGGCCCACTGCCAATCGGACGTTGACTGTATTTATCCTTGGGAAGTTCGAATAGTTCGAATAGTAAAATTATAGGGTGAATAGAATTGAATAGCACGCATGTAATCGAAAAATATTCTAGATTTCGAATATTTGCACACACCCTTACTCTACTGCTGTATCATTTGAACATTGTTGCGGTGCTCTCTCATGTAAAATTGAATCCTTCAGGAACTGCATGAGTACTTGAATCGCCATTGAACTATTTTCGACACAGCAAAGTAAATTGGCAATTTTACTGGCTTCTTTAATGAAAGTTTCAATGTAATAATGGCATGGGCAATGGCAGCAACTACGCTCGGTCACAACATAAGAAAAAATGTAACCTCTGCCACACAACTGGGCTATGCCTGCCCTTCACCTGTGAAGGACAGTTATACTAGCTGGTTTCCGTTTAAATACTTTTTCTCGGATGAAGTTACTATACATATGTGTTACGATTTAAAAATCCATTATTCATACACAAAGCATTAAATTTGGCTGAGCAGCAATGTCAGGATACGTGTGAAACTTAGAAGGACGTTCAAGTTTGCTACATGAACCCAGCAAGAGAAATGTGTGTCCCTATGGGAAAAGTCAACTATTTGAAACACCCAAGAAGCCCTTCACATAAGAAAACTGAGAAGGCATTATTGTATGAAACATTTATGTAATTACACTCGATCACAGTGGGCGAAACAGATTTCTCTTTAAAAAAGCCCTTCAACACTTTCTCGGCACGAGAAAAAGCTGATGATCGTTAGTCAAGGCTTCTGAGATTATAGAAGTCGAACATTATGGCACAGCATACTGCATAAAATTGAGAATTCTCGAATTAAGCTAGAAAGTACTCTTCTTTCTGCAGTTGATGCTATACAGTTAAACCCCTTCACAAGGGACATGCATGGAGCAGCCATTCTCGTATTTTATATGAGTCGTCTCTCTTCTAAGCAGGCTCCTACGTTATGCATTTTCTTCTCAACCCTTACTTCGATGCAGCACACTGGTGTCGCGTATACCCCAAAAGCCTGTTATGTCAGCGTCTCTTTATACAAGGTTCAATTTTGTACCCTAATTACTGTGCCCTTTACCAAAAGCCCACATCTGTTAGTTGATTTGAGCATCGCAAGTTGCATAGTTACAATGGCCGTCGTGGAATGCCACCGTGCACCAACGTGTGCACTTGTAAACCCAGTGAAAGTAAGCCGTCCGTTCGAACAAAAACCAAAAGAAATATAGTCGAGGTCATGAAGCTTGCCAACGAAGGGACACATCTTCTTGACCCCTTGCCGTCCTCCTCCCTGCGTAGCTTTCAGTGCACTCACAGGCAGGAACGGAGAGAGCGATATTGGAACACGTGACCAATCACTCTAATCCCACTCGTACCTGGCGGGTTCTAAAATTCTTTGTGGCAGTCAACTAGCGAAGCAATGAGCTCTTTCAATAAAATCGTTCGACGATTACTTGAAAAAGTATTGCAGGGCCCCTCTAAGTTCTAACCGAGCGTAGAGCTCAACAATGCAGGAAGCGCCATCAGGAGAATCTGGGTTACAGGGGGGAAGTTGAGATCCGTGCAGGGAAAACACAACATTAGAGGATGCAAAAAAGTTGATCGAACGCTCACAATAGAGACAAAAAAAAAATGTAGAGCCCGTACTTTGCACCTGCCATGCCCATTACATGGGTTCTCAGCTCCTCCTGTGCAAGGATCGCAGTTGGGGCCATAGTAGTTTTCCGGGCAGCAAGCTGTGAGGAAGAGACAACAAACCAGGTACATGGTGATGGGACTCCAATGACATTGTTGTAAGCTCCCCCTCCCTCTCCTAAAAAAAAAAACTACCCCGCTACAACACCCCTGATACACATCTCTGCTGTGATACCCCTATGAAACACCCTTACACCACTGAACAGAATTTAGACTGCCCTCTGCTTCCTACATCTGGTGTAATGCTGTGGAAAGTATGCAAGAAGTTTGGTCAGCAAAACATTTTGCAACTCTACGCAAATCGTGCTTGGATTCAGGTACTCCCTGTCAGTCCTACGTGGGAGATACCCGCTGTGTGCGTCCTGCAGGACAAAAATAAAGTTTTTCCATTTTACTAGATTTCGTAGTTATAAACATGGTCTTCGTGACTGGGCCTAGCTGCGCGCTACCAGATCTAATGGTGGACGCCACTATACGAAAAAAATTCGGCAGTTCCCACGTACCTGGGAATCGACGTTAGGCAAAGCATGCGCAGGAAAAGAGACCGCGTTGCAATTTTTTTATTGAGTGACACACCATGAAATGACAAAATACGTACCAATGTTGTACACACAGACATATGTTGAAGAGTTGCAGATGCTCATATAAGCACCTGTTTGCACTTGCACAACGATGCCAACTGAAACATGTGTATTAGCATCACCAGAAGCTTATGTGAAGCGCTGATGCTCGCGATGATGCTGACCCTGGACACTGCTACATAAATAAACATCAACGCATGCAACTACCATAATTACTGGAATCTAACGCGCACCTTTTTTCCGGTTAAGCGAGTTCATAAACCGCATGCGCGTTAGAATCGAGTACTAAAAAAATGAATACGGTCATTCTCTCCACCTTTTCATAAACGCCTCCCTGGGCGCTGCCATAGCCCTCCTTGGGCTGTGCAAATTGCCGCCTCCCTCCGAAAATGCACTGACAACGCTGCGCCCTTAGCCTTTGTACTCCCGCGCACAGCCCATCATGGCGGTGTTTTTTTCCTTTCTGTGAAAAGGTGTATTGCCATCGGCATTTCCAAAATGGCCGCCCCCTACGTGCGTCGGCATGGCACGTCGGCCATTTCTGCCTATGTGTTTCCCATGTGCGGCACTTCGTACGTGTGCTGAGGAGTTCGTCATCTTGGTGCGCATTATTATCGACGGCATGGAAGGGCCGACTCCTAAAACTCGATGAGTGCACCACGATGCCGCTTTTAAAAGAAAAGCCATCACGTGTGCCAAAACGGACGGAAATCGGGCCGCATCGCGGTCGTTCGGAGTTCCCGAAACGTGCGTGCGGGACTGGCGGAAACAAAAGCAGAATATTGTCGACAGCAAAGATGCACGCAAAGGCTTCAGTGGACCACAGCAGGGTCGGTTTCCAAAAATTGAAGAGCTGCTCGGTGAGTATGTGATGGAGCAGTGAGCGGCCCGTGACGACAGAACTGCTCCAAGTGCAGGCTATGCAGTTAGCCTTAGAAAAAGGGCTGATGCGGAGCCAGTTTAAAGCGAGCAGGAGCTGGTTAACTAACTTTATGAAGAGGAAAGGCTTTTCCCTCTGAAGGCGAATGGGCATATGCCGAAAGTTGCTGGAGGAGTACAAAGAAAAGCTTCAAACTTTTCAGAGGTTCGTCCTAAACTTGCGGCACAACAACGGCTACCTGCTTGGGCAAATCGGGAATGCCAATCAGATGCCTCTTTACTTCAACATGCTTGGCACTACAACTGTCAAGAAGGGGGCGAAGCAAGTTCACGTGCTGACATCGGGCCACGGTAAAACTAGAATGACGGCAATGCTCCGTTGCACGTCGGATAGGCACAAGCTTAGCTTCCCCCGTACCTCATATTTAAACAGAAGACGCTCCCGAAAGGAGTCGTTTTCCCGAGTGGTGTGATCATGCAAACCAACGAGAAAAATGGGTGCGCGTTGAAATCGAGGTCTTTTTTTTTTTTTTTCGTCGTGGAAACCGGGTGCGCGTTACAATCGAGGGCACGGTAGAATCGAGTAAATACGGTAAATACAATTGACGTTAACCCGACCTGACGGCTGTATCAAAGGAGTACGTATGTAATGTTTATAAAATTGTGTAGGCAGCACTGCGACCACTATTGACGTTTCATGAAGATTAGCGTCTATATTTAAAGAGTAGTTCCGAGGCCTGGTGTAGCTATGTGGCAAAATGCTTTATTGCCACGCAGAATGCTTGGGTTCGATTCCAGCTGGGACCCTGACATTCATTCTTTGCATTCGTCGCATCGACGCTACCGATGTCAGGTATGTCTTAACTCTCGTGCCTTAAAATTTCCCATGCGTGCTCTCATCGTTTCTGGGTAGATACTAAGTGTCAATAACCTTGCACATACTTGCATACCGGCAGGAAATACCCACCGTGGGTCTGACAGAAAGTGTTTGACGACGCACGCGACGGGATTGTGACATTCATGTCTTGACCAGTGCATCATCTTCGTGAAACCATCTTACCCTTCCATGCTAATTTTGGTTCATGGCAAGTTTAAGGGGGTGACCACGAGAGCCCTCGAACGTAAGCAACTAGATAGATAGATACACTCAAAGTCGCCGAAGTTAGCTAAGAAACACTTCGCATCTAATAAAGCAAAGCTACGTGATCCAGAAGAACCTATTGAGAACCCTATAAAAAATTGGCCCCGTATCTGCATGTAATCTGCAAATGTCGTCGAAAGACGATAGTCTTGCGAGTGGCGAGAGTGAACAATTAATTTGATGTTCTGCGCAAGAAAATTGGCGAATGCTATTCCGGAGGCGCTGCGTTAGAGTGCCTCGAGCGTGCAGCAGAGGCGAACGAGCGCATCGAGTCACGTCACACGTGAGACATGAGCGCCATCTGGCAGTTTCTTTGGGAAAACAAAGCGCGTGGCCGTGCGCGCCCATCTCAGAGGTGATAAGGTGTAGAACGCGAGGCGACAGGTAGGTGCCATCACCATCTCGTTTTAGCAAAGCGTTGGAAACACTCATCTTTTCGTGCAAGCTTTGCATGGTCAGCGCTGCGTGATAAGTGCTATGGTCCTTAAAATTACTTATGTATGCATTTTCTAGTAAAAGATGCACATACAGAATATATACGTGTTGTTATGGTGCCCCCGACTTGCGCAATAATTGCTTATTAATTGACAATTGCACAAGTATGAACGCTTAACCTTGAGCAACATTGGTGGGCGCTGCGGATGGGGTCGACCGTTTCAAATACCCGGTGCCATTAAAAGTGGACAAACAGACAAATGTACAGACAGACAGACCGAAATTTTTGAGTCGAAAGTCCCCAAGAAAGACTATCGTCTTTAATAATGAGGTCTGTGTGTTTCTAAGGCACAAATCTTTTATTACTCAGTACAAGAACAAATTAAAAAAAACTATGGGAGGTAGAATAATTGAACTATTTTTTGGTGTGAGCGTATCTACTACAAGAAGTATCGCTACCTTTCATAGAGTTGCACCAGACACATGAAATGAGTATAATTTTCGAGATTGGCTGAACCCCGAAGGAGCTCAAGGGAACGCTGCTATGGAGGGCTCCCAATGCAATTTGACTGCCTAAGAACCTTAAACATGCGCTTACAGCCAATATTTGTATTTTGCAACATCTCAATTTGGCCACCTCAGTGATAACGGTGGTTAAACTGGCAAGTGTACTATCGTTTTGCAATAGAAAGCACTCTGCAGTGGTAGTTAAGCTGGTTGTACAACACCCACCAGGACAAAACCAAGAAAAAAAAGCTTGACTTAGTGATATCTTTTCGCAACAAACAAAGTTGGCTGCTTTCTTCAAGATGAAGTATCAACTTGCTCAGCGAATGACCATTCTAAAGAAAAGAATCTAAAAAAAGAAATCCATGCTAGCTTCAGTAGACAGACTTAACCTAATCATGGTGGGAAGAGCCACATGACCTGGCAATGAAACCTTAGTAGCGCTTTTACCTTTGGAAATGCAATCCCCTTGGCTAGCTTGTGAGACATTAAATTTTACAAGAGCGCAAAAGAACAAGAATCACGACGACAGACAAAACACTAACAACAAACTAAAATAGTCATCCTCTGTCTTATTCCCGAGATTCAATTGCCTTAAGGATCAATTAAGAAATTCTAGTACTAATGTACACTTCTTGCATGTAGATACAACACCTACACAAATCACCCGACAAGAAAAGGTTAAAGATATAGTGCATACGGTCCCCACTATATAGTTACAAAGCCCAAAACTCAATTACAGCTAGTTTTGCTATCAACCATTAAGAATTCGTGAAAAGACATTTGCTTAAGTATTGTTACAAAAAATACTTGGCCCAAGTGTACATAAAAATCACGGTGCAAAGGGCTCAAACCGCCAACTTAAATGTACGAGTCGTACCTTTAGCCTGGTCGATGCACAGGTACTTGTGCAGATCGGGCTCCTCGTCCTGATGCTCGAACCACCACTCTTCCAAGTGTTCCTCGTACTGTGCGGCCATGTTTCTGCACTGCACGAGTCATTGCACAAGATCGCAATGAAAAAAAGCTCCATAATAATGATCGTGACTCCTTCCGATTCGGCAACGTGACAAGACGTCAGCGATGCGTCATGGGTGCAGAGCCAATGACCGAACAGGGCATCCTCAATATGAACATGCATCATAGGGGCACGTGGAGAAAATGCTGTTCGAGGAGCACCGTTCGCTAGCAGTAACGTAGTAAGGCTTCCTTTACCTCGGCGGCTTTCGTTCTGGCAATAACGCTTTTACCGGCTGTCTTGGGCTTTATAAAAGGGGCAAACGGCAGCACGAAAAATGAATATGTGGACTGCGAGGCCAAAACTGCATCACCACAGGGCCGAGGCACCGTTTCGTAAGGCAAGAAACCAATTGGCAAGCTCAGCAGTAATGTTGCCCGTGGGCAAGCTTTCGTCACTGTGCGTGTAAGAGGAATATTGCTCAGGCAAAGGAAACAGGCACGGGATAGTATTTCGAAATGAAGAGTCTGCACGGCGCTGTAATAATCGGAAAATGTGATCGCCGCTGTTTGCTGTACGAGTTGGCGAGCTCGTTTGCGGGGTGCAAAAAAATATGTCAGAGCCTGTTTACTGGCCTTTTAAGGTGAAAGCCTTATACACTTTATCAAATGGGAAAATTGTTTGTCAGCATTGCTGTTGTCATCAGCATGAATGATATTAAAACTGTCAGCACCATCATCAACATAATTTTATGATGATGACCAACGAGCTACAATGAATGCTTTCCAACTTAGTCATCTTAGCTGCATGCATAAGGAACTCTGCGAGTTTTGTCACAGTTCTTTGTCCAGCTTTCTTACACCCTGAGAGTGAAAATTGATGACCACAAAGCTACGAGCAAATCTGCTTGTGTTTTTTAGGAAGTAAACTTCACGCTTAAATAAAAATTCATACTAAGAACTAAGAAGTTTCTATCAGCTAAGAAGCTTCCTTTCTGAAAAAATATATGAATTGCCTTGCGGCTTTGTGCTACAGACAGAAGGGTGTAAATTTTTCTTTTCACAAATTTTTCACCAGGTTGATATTTTATAGTATTTGATATTTGCTTAACTACTGAGAGAAGACCTCTTAAACTAATGTTAAGTATCCTTGATTGGGAAAGAGCATATTTGTTGCAATTGTTACAACCGTTTTTTCATTGGATGAAGTGACTTCATGGCACTGTATAACCGACACAATGCATAGCATAGTATAATACTGTATAAGCACTGAACAACAACTATCGAAGAGAAGTGGGGCCCGTGTGAGGTATGCCGAAACACCTTTAGCGCAATTTCCTCAGTTGGCAGAGTTCACTGTACATAAACATAAAGCTCTTTTGTTATATGTTGTACTTGTAGTTCCATCTGCTGACATCTCGTTTTTAAGTGTACAGAACATTGTACTGTGCATTAGTCTTGTTGTATGTAATTGTCGCCACGTGTCTTATCCGAGAGACTGAGGGGGTCAGTCAAACCACAACCACAATGGCCTTTTCCCTTCACTCAATAAAAAAATAATAAAAGCTGCACATCCTTACATGCTCCTGGCCCTTGACTATCTCCAGGCAGAGGTGCTCCTGAATTTCGATGAACCTAATCTCACTGCAAAACAGAAATACACACAAACACACACAGATTGAGCGAGAATTCATACCTACTTGATGAAAATAATGTCAAACTCAAAGCTCAAGGAAGAAATAAAGTCCACTTAATTAACTGTGTCAACTAGAGTAATTTTTCTTGTTTACTTTTTATCTTAAGCACCACTTTATGTCACATACTCTTTCAAATAAAAATGTGTGTTTATTACGAATCATATAGGCTGTCATTGTGAGAAATGGAGCAAGAGGCATCAGCAGAAACAAAAATACAATTTGCTAGGGCCATAAAAATCCACACACTGCCTGCGTAATGTCTCAGTGCATGAGCGAAAGAAGTTTTAAACCCATAGGTGCAAGCATTAGGAACACTTTTTTTTTTGTTATGACTTACAGCCTGCCCGAGCTTCCTCTCCTTACCTTTTCGAGTACTTCCCCATATTCCTGGACTCCCAGTCGACGTCTCCTCCATCGAAGCGACTCCTTTTTGTTCGCTTAATGCCCTGCACAGATGCCGTCATCCGGAACAATCGCACTTAGTACATAACTACCAAAGTCACTAACATAGCAGCATAACTTATGGTGCTAATAGTACAATCGACTGGTTGATACTGCATTCTGACTATTTGCAAGAGTTTGGAGCACTCTCAAGATTGTAGCACGAGAGAGCCAAGCAAATCTGAACACATTCATCCCTCTCATTAATCCACAAGTGTGCTTCAATCATTGCATGTCCACCCAACCAATGACCAAACTTTTGAAGACGCAGAGAACAAGTAAAGTGATTGTGCAGGCAGGCTGAGCCAGAAAGTTGCAAGGAGACGATTAGCAATATGTAATCACGAAACAACCCATTGCTCCCAATACATATCAATGCCACCTACTGCTGACTACACTGCTCCATGCATGGGTGCGGCACACAACCTCACTGAACTAAATACAGGGTCGTCAGTAGGGTGCCTTCATGTTTTAATGCGACAAAATCACAGCGCATGCTTTAAAATCCAGTCTTTGTGAATAGGACGATCCCTGCTGTTTTTTCCAATCAGTTATTTCTAGAGAAATTTCGTCACATCTAGTTTAGTAGCCAAGTTAGTTTGTTAGTTCAGGTTGATAAGACTGAGCCTTATGGGTGTTTGGTGGGGTATCAATATTTCTTCATTAGATCAGGAACTTCATAAAATCGGGTTTCGTTAGATTGATCTAACTGTATATTTAGCCGAGCACAACACATACGAAGCAAGAAAAAACTTACATTCTGGAATGTTTTGACTACAGTCTTGCAGGCTTGGCAGGCGGGCAACAGGTCCTTACGAACGACGCGCTCACCCAGGTCGCTGATGTCTATGGCTGTCGCAAACTGCACTTCTGCTCTGCAGACAACACTAAAGCCAACGAGAAGAAGTCCCAACAGGTAGAGGAAAACTGAAGACGGAGCCATGCGGGTCCCCTGTGGAAGTGACAAGGTTGCTGATGATGATGTGTGGTGTTTTATGGTGCAAGGGCCAATTGATGGCCAAAGAGCGCCATTTCAATGAGTATAGAGATGCGGACAATGATATGTTGCGTGGCTGTATAGGGGCCTTAAAATTCCTCACGATAATGCGGGTAAAAACATAAGTATTAAAGACATGACAGTGGCATGATATGCATATTAAAAAGGGTGACAAAGGTTTTGATAATAAAAACATGTAAAAATATTTGGCACTAGCACACTTGTCTCATCAGTGCCCTTGTGTCCAAGGGCTGCGAGGCAAGTGCTTTTAAATGTAATCACAGCAGCAGCGACCTCTCTTGAGAGGTCACGCTACGCAATGCCTGGGTATAATACATGGTAAAAATTAACATCTCTTAAAAAAGCTAACAATGATTTATGGGTGAAAAGTGGTTCCCTACCGACAAACATTGCAGGGTGTAAAGGTATATGTTGTCGGTAGGGTAATGGGAAGTGTTGTCTTCTTAGAGTGTCTAACTGTTTACATTGGATTAAAACGTGAAGAACTGTTAAAGCCTCACCACATTTATCACACAATGGTGGATCACCACCGGATAAAAGATGTGTGTGTGTCGTGTATGTGTGCCCTATCCTGAGTCTTGTTAGTGTTACCTCTGTTAGACGTGATTTTGATACTGGTGGCCAATGGCCAAGGTGTGGCTTGATAACGTGTAGTTTGTTTTGTGTGTGTGTATCCCACTTGCTCTGCCAGTAGTCCCTGAGGTTTAGTTTGAGAGACGGCTTAAGATCAAGGGCAGGGATTGATATGGATGTAAAGGCGGTGCTCTCATGGACGGATGCCGCGAGCTGATCCGCCCTCATGTTGCCTTGGATCTCACGGTGCCCTGGCACCCAGCACACTACAACATGTTGTTTGTGCGTGTAGAGTGTGCACAAAATGGAGTAAAGTGAGACAAGGACTGGGTTTTTTTGTTTTTTAAGACTGTGCAGAGCCGTTACCACACTGAGGGAGTCTGTATAAATTACTGCTTTTTGTATTTGTAATTGTTTGATGTGTTTAGCTGCCACCAGTATCGCGTAAGCTTCCACTGTGAAGATACTTGTGCGTGGATGTAGAGGGCCAGCATCCGAAAAGGATGGGCCGACAGCAGCGTAGGACACAGAGGAGTTAGTCTTGGAGGCATCTGTGAAGAACTCAGGACATGTGTATTTGTGTTGAAGTTCCAGAAAGTATGTTCGGATATGGGCAATAGGTGCATGTTTTGTAACCTCTAGGAAAGACACATCGCAGTCTGTAGTCTGCCAGTGCCACGGTGGCGGGTATGCTACAGGAGCCATTAAACTGTGTTCAAGTGACACTTCAGTTTCTTCAGCTAGACACTTCAGGCGAATTGAGAAGGGCTGCCTCATCGAAGGCCTGTTTTCAAACAGAGTTGAGCTCGACAAATCATTATTTGTAGAGTATGAGGGGTGCTTCTTGTCTGCTTTCACCTTAAGGAAATAAACAAAGTACATGTAAGTTCTCTGCAGATGAAGCGACCACTCATTTGACTCAACATAAAGGCTTTCTACGGGGCTGGTGCGAAAAGCACCCGTAGAAAGGCGGATGCCCAAATGGTGCACGGGGTCAAGCATCTTCAAGGCACTTTGAGTGGCAGACTGATAGACAACGGCCCCATAATCTAAGCGGGTACGAATAAGGCTTCTATAGAGGTTCATGAGGCATTGCCTATCACTACCCCATGTAGTACGTGACAACACTTTTATAACATTCATGGCTTTTAAACATTTTGTTTTTAAATACTTGATGTGCGGTACGAAGGTCAACTTGTTGTCCAAGATTAAGCCTAAGAATTTATGCTCGGCTTTGACGGACAGACGTTGCCCGTTCAGCCGAATGTCAGGTTCCGAGTGCATGCCTCTCTTTCAAGAGAACAAGACACACGTGCTTTTTTGTGGGTTAAGTCGAAATCCGTTTTCGTCTGCCCATTTGGAGACCTTATTTAAACCCATCTGAACCTGCCGCTCACACATGGCTAAGTTGCATGACTTGAAGCCAAGCTGAACGTCGTCGACATATGTACAATAGAACATCATGCGGGGAATGGACAAGTGCAAAGAATTCATTTTGATGATAAAAAGTGTGCAACTAAGCACACCACCTTGTGGCACGCCTGTTTCCTGGACAAATGTTTGGGAGAGCACACTGCCTAGACGGACACGGAATGTCCGGTTTGACAGGTAACTTTCGATTATATGAAACATTCTTCCGCGCACACCAAGGTGGGACAGGTCTCTTAGAATTCCGAAACGCCATGTTGTATCATACGCCTTTTTGATATCGAGGAACACAGAGAGAAAATATTGTTTATGGACGAAGGCGTCTCTTATCTGTGCCTCGATACGAACGAGGTGGTCGGTGGTGGATCTACTTTCTCGAAACCCGCACTGAAATGGGTCGAGCAAATTGTTTGTTTCAAGAATATGTAGAAGTCAGCAGTTTATCATTTTTTTGAATACTTTGCACAAGCAGCTTGTAAGTGCAATAGGCCTATAACTTGAAGCTAAAGAAGGGTCCTTGCCCTCTTTCAAAATGGGAATAATAATAGCCTCTTTCCAGGAGGTAGGGATAGTGCCAGAAAACCAGATAGCATTGTATAAACAAAGTAAGGTTTTTCGTGTTTCGGCTGGTAGGTTTTTTAACATTTCATACACCACACGGTCAGAACCTGGGGCAGAAGTACTGCAGGAGTTTAGAGATGTTCGGAGCTCAGCTAGACTGAAAGCTTGGTTATATGCCTCGTATCTAGTGGATTTATGTTCTAGTTTCTGCTTTTCTATTCTTGTTCTGTATTTTTGGAAAGTGTCAGTATAGTGGGACGAGCTGGATACCCGTTCAAAGTGTGCACCGAGGAAGTTTGCCTGATCTTCCAAGGTATCACCCTGAGTGTTTACGAGTGGAAGTGTGTGTACTTGTTTTCCTGCTATCCCACCGACCACGTTCCAGACTTTAGCCTCCTGTGTGTATGAAGTGATCCCTGACAAAAACTTCTGCCAGCTTTCTCTTCTGGCCTGCCGACGCGTTCTCCTGCCTTGAGACTTTATTTTCTTAAAGCTCTCAAGGTTTTCCGCTGTCGGCGAGTTGCGCAGCAACCTCCATGCCCTGTTCTATTCCTTTCGCGCATTACGACACTCTGTGTTCCACCATGGGACGTGTCGCTTGCCGGGCTGTCCAGATGTTTGTGGGATGCATTTGGCTGCTGTGTTAATAAGGAGAGCTGTGAAGTACTGCACAGCTTCATCTATGCTTAGCGTACATATGTCAGTCCAAGATAAGTGAGCTTTGTTATGAAACTGTTCCCAGTCGGCTTTGTGTATAAGCCATTTGGGAACTCGTGGAGGATATTCGTATGATGTTTGTGTACTCAAAACGACAGGAAAATGGTCGCTTCCGTAGGGATTATTTAGAACTTTCCATTGGAGTAATGGTACAAGTGATGGAGATGCGATGCTGAGATCTATGGAAGAGTAGGTTTTGTTGGCAAGGTTATAATATGTTGCCTCTTTCTTATTCAACAGACAGGCGCCGGAGGAAAAAAGGAACTGTTCAATGAGACGACCTCGTGCGTCGCAGCGAGAATCACCCCATAGACTGCTATGAGCATTCAGGTCACCAAGGACCAGATAAGGTTCGGGTAGTTGGTCTATTAAGGACTCGAATTCTCGTTTTCCAAGACGGTGGTGTGGGGGTATGTACAGAGAGCAGATGGTGACGAGCTTGTTGAAAAGAACTGCTCGAACAGCCACTGCCTCTAGTGTTGTTTGCAGTGGTAAATGTGTGCATGCTACTTTTTGATTAACAATAATGGCTACACCGCCGGATGATGCCGCAGCATCATCTCTGTCCTTTCGGAAGAGAACATACCGACGCAAAAAATTCGTGTTTTTAGATTTTAAATGAGTTTCCTGTACACACAGCACTTTCGGCGAATGTTTGCAAAAGAGCTCTTGAACATCATCGAGGTTTCTGAGGAGTCCTCTGACGTTCCAATGTATTATTTGAGTTGCCATATTGGAGGTAACGTAGTGCTGTGTGTAAGGAACAATGGGTGTGTCTGCTTCTTAAGCTAAGCGTTAAGACTCAAAGAACAGGGCCGTCGCCGGGCCCCGTTATTGGCTTTTTATTTCGTTTGGCACGCTCCAGGGAGCTACGCCGATCTTTCTGCACCAGGGGTGCCGTGGTGTCCATTGCCTCCTCAGAGGCACTGCATGCCCGCATTTGCGAGCTGATGTTTTGGGCTTGGGACCTCGCCTGGTGAGACGAGGCCTTCATATCGGCCGACCCTGGGGTCTCCTTCACCTCGGGGGGCGAAACCTTCGGTCCTCTTGGGCTAGAGGTCGAAGGAACCTCCTTTGGTGCTGGGATACCCTGGCCGCTGCAAGAGCTTGCAGCGGCCTTGGTTGTCGCCGTGGGGACGAGAGGCAGGGCAGCCTTGGCTGTTCCCGCCGTGGGTGGGGGCATTGGCGACCGCCTGGGCACACTGTGCCTGGCATGGGCAGTTTCCGCAGGCCGTTGTAGTGCTGCCCCCTGTTGCACTACATCGGAAAACGATGCTTTGTTTGTGAAAAGCCCAGATACTTGTTGACGGGCTTCTCGGAAAGTAATGTTTTGCGTGATTTTGATTGTAACAATTTCTTTTTCCTTTTTCCATGTTGGACAGGTTCGGGAGTATGCGGGATGGGCACCATCGCAGTTTGCCCAGTGGGCCCCATCCTCCACCTTACACTCGTCCGTAGCGTGTCCTGTGGTGGCACACTTTCCGCAGGTGAGTTGGCCGCGGCAACTCTGAGAGCCGTGACCAAAACGCTGGCATTTGAAGCAACGTCGTAGGTTGGGAATGTAAGGTCTCACATTCAACTTCAAGTATCCTGTTTCGAGATGTTCAGGCAGGGTGCTGGTGCAAAATGTCACAATTATGTGTTTTGTTGGGATTTC